TAAGCATTTTTTACTTGATCAGGAATGAGATGTGAAGACTTTGCATCATGTGTAATACCTGTTGGTTTACGAGCTGGTCTCTGAGACAGACAAGCAGACAAAAAGACACAGACAGACATACACAGGCAGACAGAAAGACAGATAAGCAGAGCTAGACAGACAGACATGCTTGTGTGTAACAGTGAAAACAAATAGTCAGGGTTCCCAGGAGCAGTGCATGTTCATCAAGTGTCATTCCACTGCTGCACTGTCAGCAGTTTAGTGACACTCGTCTTAACACCATGCTTCAAGGAGTTTATACATACTCCAGCATGTCTAAAACATTGCTAAGACCTATAAATACTTTCTATATGTTTCTAGATAATTGTAAATGACCAAGGCAGGTGAAAATGTTCACTTGTCAGTGTGTTTGTGACTATTTGAGTACTATTTCAGTACCTAATATTAGTGTCAGAACAAAGATTGGCTATGAAATCATAAAAACTACTGTAAATTGTAATTATCAGAACATAAAAATTGTATAAATTAAAATAAAAACAAGAAAAAAAGGTATATTGGCAACGCTTCTGCAAGCGGCAGGACTTGATGTTGCCGTCAGGTGAGCATCCAGTGCCAACTTCGCGATCTTATATCTCGGTAAGTGCTGATCCAAATTTTTTTTTTTTTGTCTTATTGCAAACATAAAATTGCTAACTTTATTTATTTATTTTTTTTTTTTTTAACTATTTGGAGTGCTAGCAGTGAAAATGTAGATATATGTTTTGGACAGTTTAAGGGTTAACCCTTCAAGGGCGGGTCCCATTGTACTATGTCTTTGAAGCCCGGGTTGGTCCCGTAGTTCTTCAACATAAGCTCAGCTCACTCAGGTAATCTGTGAGCGGTAAAACTGGGCGTAGATATGAAATAATGTGTCTTGTGTGGTAAGTGTGAACCATTTAATAAAATCCTGCAGCAAGCAGTGCATGATAGGAAAAATTGCAGCAAAGGCCACCAACACTATTCACACAAACAATGTACGTAATTTATAAATATGAAATATCTACACTTTAATTTATAAATAAGAAATATTTACACTTTATAAATAAGAAATATTTACACTTACTGTACCTTGGAGATGCAGGCACTGGTTTAGGGTGGTGGAAGATAGGCACTGCAGCATATGTTTGTCATTGGCCCTATATACCTCAATAACACTGGAGGAGTTAGTTTCATTTCATCATTTTTCTATCGCTTAATCACTTAACTTACTTGCTACACTTTATCGCTGGTTGGCGCAATAGACTTTATCGACTCCTGCTGCTTTAGTATCGTACATATCGTAGAATCACTGAATCACCGAAGGCGGCACATTCTCCCCTCTCTTTTCTTCCTCCACTGTGGTACTTTGCTATGAGTTTTTTCTTGAATTCTAATGTGTTTCTCACCTTTATCAATGGGCTGGCACCAGCAGCTTTCTTTGGGCCCATGGTGTTTTATTTAACAGTCACACAGAATAAACAAGTGTAAAAAACAATGTTCACTCACCGAGAAACAAAGCGACATTGCCTCAGAATGCGTGTGTGGGAGGTTGTGTGCGTGTGGGCACACAACCTCCCACACACGCATTAAAGTGTAGATATTTCATATTTATAAATTACGTACATTGTTTGTGTGAATAGTGTTGGTGGCCTTTGCTGCCGCCTCCACTACCACTAATATGTACGGCTTATGCTCTCAGTGGCCCTTATAAACTCAACAACAACACGACCACCACTCCTCACATACGTAATGACATATTTTATTCATTCTAGAGTATATATCATGTTTCAATGTTATTAATGTTGTTTATTATATAAGATGAATTATGATAAATAAATAAGCCGTGGAATATAGTTTTTTTTTTTTTTTTTCTCTCAACAAGTCTGCCGTCTCCCACCAAGGCAGGGTGACCCAAAAAGAAAATACTTGCATCATCATTCAACACTTTCACCTCACTCACACATAATCACTGTTTTTGCAGAGGTGCTCAGAACACAACAGTTTAGAAGCATATACGTATGTATAAAGATACACAACATATCCCTCCAAACTGCTAATATCCCGAACCCCTCCTTTAGAGTGCAGGCATTGTACTTCCCATTTCCAGGATACAAGTCCAGCTATATAAAAATAACCTGTTTCCCTGAATCCCTTCACTAAATATTACCCTGCTCACACTCCAACAGATCGTCAGGTCCCAAATACCATTTGTCTCCATTCACTCCTATCGAACACGCTCATGCACGCCTGCTGGAAGATAGTTATTTTCTATAAAATATATTTTTTGTTTATACTTCTGGGTGTCTGAAACTGATTAATTGGATTTATATTATTTCTTATGAGGAAAATAGTTTCAGTTTTCTTGAATTTCACGTTTCGTCAGACTCTCAGGAACGGATTAATTATGAAAATGGAGGGTCCACTGTATTCCAGAGTACACAAATGACATTACTTGTCCAGTACGTGTCTCTCTGTCCAGTCTAATACACTTTTAGGAATGCACTGACATTATTTATACAATTATTACAATAATGCACTACTCTGCATAACAGTAAATTTTCTATTTCCTTTTGTAGATAAAAATTCTAAATGGAATTCATGTGTAATATTGGAGAGGTCTGGAGACATAATAAACAGAGGAAATGTTATTTTAGTGCCAGGAATGTCTGCATTGCTTATTCTGGACCCTATTTTGAAATTTGCATTTCTTGATTTTTGTGTGAAATTGGCCAAATTACCAATTTCTGATGACTTTATTGGGTAGTTGAATGCGTGGTTTCTTGTACTCAGTCGATAGAATGGAAGGCATACTAGCAAAATGGCTAAGAATTTGATCGACTGGAATAATGTAATTGGCCTACAATCAGACTCAAAGTGAGCAAAATCTCAGATTGCATAAATATCACTGACAAGACAAAATCTTCAAAAGCGGAATTTCATCAGTTTTCCATTAAATTTGGTATTTTTTGTTTTATTGCCTTCAGAAAAATGTTCTCTACCATTTAATAAGAACAATTTTTTTTTTTCAACCCCGAGGGCAAGTTTGAGAGCCGGGGTCCCAACCCTCAAAAGGTATTAAGCCTTCAAAGAACATTATCAGATAAATTTTGAAAGGTGGTAGGTGAAGGTGAAGTCCAGATGTTTTAAATAGCTGCTTTTAGCTTTGGAATGGATGACGTGCCATGGTCCCTAAGTTAATGTTTCATACATGACTAAATTTTCTTTTGGGCTTGGGTCTGGGCTGTTACCTGTCCTGTCACTAAAATAAGGCACTTCAGAATCATTCAAGCACTTTTTGACATTTTTGGTGATATGTCATAGACAGTGGTGCTTTGGCTTTTTCAAAGGAATAAGATAAATAATCCATTAAAATCTCCAAATAATTTTTCTGGTTGATTATGGCATTTTTGAGAAGTATACTAATTCCCCAACATCATAACAAGTAAAACTCGCCACACCATGAGGGATGCAGGGTGTTTCACAGTTTTGACAATACAGTGGACCCCCGGTTAACGATATTTTTTCACTCCAGAAGTATGTTCAGGTGCCAGTACTGACCGAATTTGTTCCCATAAGGAATATTGTGAAGTAGATTAGTCCATTTCAGACCCCCAAACATACACGTACAAACGCACTTACATAAATACACTTACATAATTGGTCGCATTCGGAGGTAATCGTTATGCGGGGGTCCACTGTATACTGTGGGAGCTGTGGGTCAAAATGAGGCTCCTGCTATAGCATATCTCTCCTTGACTTCCTGATAAATTAGACAACATTCGTCAACATTCCTTGACTTCCTATACTGTAATGGAAGGATTTGCCTTTACTTGATAATTAGTTTCATTCAGAGTCTTTGGGGAGATTAATTTAGGCCTACCAGTCTTGGAAAGAGGGACTGGAACATGGCTTTCTTCCTGGTCACGAAAAATGCTTGATAAGACGTTGCACTGAACACAATTTTAGTCTTGTTTGAAGAGATGGATGTATCCTGGCTGCTCTTATGCAGAGCAATCACAGCTGATGTACCCTCCTTATTTGCACTTCTAGACATCATTGTTGGTCACAAGAGGGGTTAATGACTGCACACAGGCAAAAATGTGACCCTTCGATGCAATCCCCCCCCCCCCCCCCCCCAAAAAAAAAAAAAAATAGCCCTTACAGTAGCCACAAGGTTGCTGGGTAAATCTTGTGATGTATGCAGCATTGCTAAGTGTTTATACAGCACAGCCAGACAAATGTTATGCTATTTTGTATCCTATGAGGCCCACATAATTCTTCTTTCAACAAACCGGCAATATCCCACCAACCCACATAAGTATGTGAAATTAATTATGCAGAAAGTCATGATGTTGGCCCGCTGGAATCACAACCTTCCACACAGACTGTAATTGTTACATTTTCTGATACTTCATTTTCCCATTTTATGAGAGGAGTGAAAGTTTAACCCTTAAACTGTCCAAACATAGATGTACATTCACTCGCGTAGCGCTCCGAATGTAGATCTACTTTTTTTTTTTTACATTCTTTCTTGTGGAGAAAATCAAGGTCGGAGCGCTGCGTGCGCAAACGTAGATCTACATTTGTTTGGACCATTTAAGGGTTAAAGTCATTTGGGCAACCCCTAAATAAACCTCACATTATTTAAACTGTGTGTAATACTATATATTTTTGTAGTAGATGGAATATGACAATAAAATTTCAAATGTTCATTTTGTGATCCTCTAGTATACACCCTCTTTTGGGAATGAAATCAAGATGCTAATAGGATAGACAATATCTGGAACATATTAAATTGTATTTCTTAATAGTTTACCTTGTTTAAATAAGTAGGATTATATTTTAATCATTTAACCAAATTTATAATTTTTAGTTTTATTTAACATTTTGCATTGTTTCCTTCATATAAGTACAATATACTGTATGGTTGATGTCTAATATTTTTTATTTAGAATTGTTAATATCATCATTTCTGTATTTAGGTGAATGAAGAATTGATTTATAAGCTTGAAGAGCTTGATAAAAGTAAGAAGCTTGTTCAGGATCTGGAAGAGAAATTGACTGACTGTGTTATACAAATGGTAAGTCAGTACACTTTATTGTAGGTGTTTTGTAAACAAGCAGATGATACATTAGTACACGCAGTGTGTTGTCTTGAAATAAGCTATGATTGTTTTTAGTTTCTCTATAATAAAAAATAGGTTACTTAGACTTTTTTCTTGAGATCATTCAGCCATTTTATGTATTAATGCAAGTTATGGTTGTGTGAATTATGGGTCTACTGTACATTACTATCATGCATCTTGTGCAGAATGTAAGATATATTAAAATATCAACTGTAAGTTATGGCACTGACAGAAATTAAATAGGTAAATCTGCATAATTTATTTACTTCCTAATTTTCCAACACTTACTTTTGCATTGTCTCAAGACAAGCACACAGGATAAACTGAAAGATGTTGAGAAGAAACTTGCTGCTGCTGAGGAACAAAAGAAAATTCATGAGGAACGGGAGGCTGTTGTTAACCAAGATAATCACCAGCTAAAGGCTTCAATTTGTCAGCTCAAGGAAAATATGGAACTCTTGGAAAATGCACAGGTATGTTTCAGTTTTACACGTTGGGCAGTTAAATAAGTTAGTAAAAATAACTCCTGGCTTCAGCACTCAAATTCAGCAGAATGAAAAAAAAAAATTTGCAAGTTTTTTATGATGCTATCTGAAGATTCATATTCTTTACCAGTTAATAATTTATTGCTAATGTTAACAAATGCCTAACAAACTGTTATTTGTAATAGAATTTTCTGCCCAATTTTCCATCTTGTTGCTGAATCTTGTTAGGTTTGAGACAGAGGATCTTGTGTGGATGCAGTCAAGAGACTTGCTGTATAATGCTTCATTTATTTCAACTTTATTTGCTGTATGAAGATAACATTTCTGTTTTTCCTTGTGTGGCTTAGCTTTGAGGTTTCTTTGATTGCTAATATGTCTGATCAGTAATTTTTTTTTTTTAGATGAAAAAATACAGTACTGTACTCTTTAAGGTTTGTGGAATATATTTTTTTTAGGCTACTACTAGTTTCAAAATTCAGCTTATGGGAAGATCTTGTTAAATTAGCATAATGTGCTTATTAAGCCATAAACTGTGTCTGACATACAATGTACATCGGTGGAGTGGCTTATGTTTCATGTACACAGTAAGCCAAGTTTTTGTGCCTTCAGATTTGCAGGAACCTGCCATTGTAGGTCAGGGCTCAAGTGTTTGGGTTGCTTGCTGCCTTTTCATGTGTGGGGAAGAAATTTAGGAGTAAACAAATCGATCAGTGCATCATGGAAAACACTGCCTTAGTACCATGTGTAAACAATGTAACACCAGCTTCCCTTCTAGCAAGTACAGTGTGGAACTGGCAGGAAGATGCCATATTTGTTCCAAATTTATTACAGTTGTGGTGTGATAACAGTGGAATTCAGTCAAAGAGCATATTGCTGTACATAGATTTTTATCCCAGGATAACTCAGTAGACTGCTAGTGCCCCAAACGTATATAAACGTTTTAGTTTTCCTGCCTTCAAATATGGCACAATTGGCCTGAGATGGTTTGTCAGCATAAAATGGGTCATAACACTCCGTGTGAACTGTATTAAAAAATCTGGCACCACTTAATACCCTGTGGGAGCACCAGTTCAAATGAGCGCCAGCTAGAGCAAACAGCGCGGCAAACACCTGGGATTCACTGATTTCATGTAGTATTAACTCTTCCCATTTTAAGAGGAAAGTGATTTTTGACCCCGAGTTTAGTGGCTTTGAGGTGGATGTGGCCATAAGTAGTCGAGGAAATATCAAAAAACCTCGATAATAACCCATGTGCAACATTTATGCAACACCCTTTCAGAATGTCTTATAACCTATGCCCTAAGTAAAGAGAAACAATTCTGGAACATAATACTTGTTCAGCAGGCTGGCTGATTGGCTGGCTGGCTGGCTGGCTACTGGCCTGGCTCTGTTTGTTTGTCTGTGTCTATGTCTATCTCTGTCTCTCTCTCTGTCTGTCTCTGCCTATCTTTGTCTCTGGTTCTGTCTATCTCTATCTGTCTGTCTCTTTTTTTTTTTTTTAACAAGTCGGCCATCTCCCACCGAGGCAGGGTGACCCAAAAAGAAAGAAAATCCCCCCAAAAAAATACTTTCATCATTCAACTCTTTCACCTCACTCAAACATAATCACTGTTTTTGCAGAGGTGCTCAGAACATAACAGCTTAGAAGCATATACGTATAAAGATACACAACATATCCCTCCAAACCGCCAATATCCCAAACCCCTCCTTTCGAGTGAAGGCATTGTACTTCCCATTTCCAGGACTCAAGTCCGGCTATATAAAAATAATTGGTTTCCCTGAATCCCTTCACTAAATATTACCCTGCTCACACTCCAACAGATCGTCAGGTCCCAATACTATTCGTCTCCATTCACTCCTATCGAACATGGTCACGCACACCTGCTGGAAGTCCAAGCCCCTCGCCCACAAAACCTCCCTTACCCCTTCCTTCCAACCTTTTCGAGGACGACCCATACCCCGCCTTCCTTCCCCTACAGATATAAATGTCATTCTACTTTGATCCATTCTCTCTAAATGACCAAACCACCTCAACAACCCCTCTTCAGCCCTCTGACTAATACATGCACAGTTACATGACACTTACCTTTATTGAAGATCTGGTGATGATTGATGGGATGGGAGGAGGGGAGAGTGTTGATGGTGTTAGTGTTTAGAAGGGGAATCCCTTTCCATTAGGACTTGAGGTGGCAAGTCCTTTTCGAGGGTTACTTCCCTTCTTCTTTTAATGCCACTGGGACCAGCTTGAGAGTCTCTGGACCTCTGTCGCACAACATATCTGTCCATAGAGGCCTGTACCTCCCGTTACTTTATGACATTCCTAAAGTGTTTCACAACATTGTCAGTGTACAGGTTACCAACACGGCTTGCAATAGCTGTGTGAGGGTGATTTTCATCAAAAAAGGTTTGCACTTTAAGCCACATTGCACACATTTCCTTAATCTCTATCCCCTCCTCCGAAGCAGTTTCCTCAGGTCTGGCATCTTGCTGTTGAAGATGATCTAGCAGCTCATCAGTGGTTAGTTTTTCATTGTCCTCCTCCACCAACTCTTCCACATCCTCCCCACTAACCTCCAACCCCAAGGACTTCCCCAATGCCACAATGGATTCCTCAACTGGTATAGGATTCCCAGGGTTAGCCTCAAACCCTTCAAAATCCCTTTTGTCTACACATTCTGGCCATAGTTTCTTCCAAGCAGAGTTCAAGGTCCTCTTAGTCACTTCCTCCCAAGACTTACCTATAATGTTTACACAATTGAGGATGCTAAAGTGATCTCTCCAAAACTCTCTTAGAGTCAATTGAGTTTCTGAGGTCACTACAAAGCACCTTTTAAACATAGCTTTTGTGTAGAGTTTTTTGAAGTTTGCAATGACCTGCTGGTCCATGGGCTGCAGGAGAGGAGTGGTATTAGGAGGCAAAAACTTGACCTTAATGAAGTTCATTTCTGCAGAAAGTCGCTCTGCCACGTCTGAAGGATGACCAGGAGCATTGTCTAATACCAGGAAGCACTTAAGGTCTAATTTCTTTTCAGTTAGGTAATTTTTCACAGTGGGGCAAATGCATGGTGTAACCAGTCATAGAAAAAGTCCCTAGTGACCCATGCCTTACTGTTTGCCCTCCACAGCACACAAATTAGCCTTGAGGACATTGTTTTTCCTGAACACTCTGGGAGTTTCAGAGTGATACACCAATAAAGGCTTCACTTTGCAATCACCACTAGCATTGGCACACATCAACAGAGTAAGCCTGTCTTTCATAGGCTTATGTCCTGGGAATGCCTTTTCCTCCTGAGTAATGTACGTCCTGTTTGGCATTTTCTTCCAAAACAGGCCTGTTTCGTCACAATTTAACACTTGTTCAGGTTTCAGTCCTTCACTGTCTATGTACTCCTTGAATTCCTGCACATATTTTTCAGCCGCTTTGTGGTCCGAACTGGCAGCCTCGCCATGCCTTATCACACTATGTATGCCACTACGATTCTTAAATCTCTCAAACCAACCTTTGCTGGCCTTAAATTCACTCACATCATCACTAGTTGCAGGCAGTGAGTTAAACTTGTTTAACTCACTCCAAAAAATTTTCTTATTTTCATTAAAATTTCTTGACATTGCCTCTCCCATTCTATCATCTGCTCTCCTTTTGCACTCTCTCACATAAATCCAAGTATACATAGTGTAAATTACCTAGGATAACCCAAAAAATCCAGACGAAGTGCTATACTCTGCTTGAACATATGAGTAAAGGTGATGATGCGATCTTGTGGCTCTCTCTGAGACAGAGCTAGACAGATAGACAGTGAGCTTGACAGACAAACAAATACAGACATGTTTGTGTACCAGCAAAACAAAGTAGGACTGATGCTTATCAAATGTCACCTCTAATCTTATTTTATCAAGTCTTATCACCACACCCTGTCCTGTGTATGCTCATCAAATGTGAGCTCTTATCTAATGTTATCTCATCTTATCATGTCACTGTCAGGGGTGGACTGAGACTTGTTTTTCATGCTTTGAGGGAACTTATTATTACATATTATTATTTTCTTCTTCTTTTTCTGTCTTCTTCTTTTTCTTCACCACTTACACATATCCAAAACATTGCTGGGACATATAAATACTTTGTATATATTCCAAGACAATAGTAAATGGCCATGGTAGGTGTAAATGTTCACCTGTCAGTATGTTTGTGACAATTTGAGTACAATTTCAGTACCTAATACTAGTGTCAGAACAAAGATTGGTTATGAAATGACAAGACCTACTATAAATTGTAATTATCAGAACATAAAAATTATATAAAATACTAATATGAAAAATAGAAAAAAGGGTATGTATATCGGCAACACTTCTGCAAGCGTGAACATGAGTGCCAACTTCTCGGCCTCATATCTGTAAGTACTGACCCTAATTTTTTTTTTTTATCCTATAACACTTAGCATGCGTGAGCGTGTTAGATAGGAGTGAATGGAGACGAATGGTACTTGGGACCTGACGATCTGTTGGAGTGTGAGCAGGGTAATATTTAGTGAAGGGATTCAGGGAAACCGGTTATTTTCATATAGTCGGACTTCGAGTCCTGGAAATGGGAAGTACAATGCCTGCACTTTAAAGGAGGGGTTTGGGATATTGGCAGTTTGGAGGGATATGTTGTGTATCTTTATATGTGTATACTTCTAAACTGTTGTATTCTGAGCACCTCTGCAAAAACAGTGATAATGTGCAAGTGTGGTGAAAGTGTTGAATGATGATGAAAGTATTTTCTTTTTGGGGATTTTCTTTCTTTTTTTTGGGTCTGGCCGACTTGTTGAAAAAAAAAAAAATTAGAAAAATGTGCTTAGGCACTGGGGCAGTGAACGTATATATATGTTTGGAAGTTTACTGGTTAAGGGAGTGGAACTGAAAGGAAGATACCTTATTTGAGCCTGCTCTGAAAAAAAATTATGTGGTATATTTAATTTTTCATATTGCATGAAAAGAAATGTTTTTCATTTATAGAAAAACTTTGGTTCCTCTTGTGTACCAAGTGGACATTCCTTTTAGAGGACACTCAATCCCATTAAATAGTATTCTCACCCTTTACATTTAGTAATTATTATTATAATCATGGGGAAGTGCTAAACCCATAGGATTATACAGTGCCTGTGGGGGGGGGGGATGGAAGGTATTCAGGCTCAATGGAGGGAACTGGAGCACAGATCCAATTTCCTAGATCAAGAGTCCCTCACCAGTGTCAAGGAGCCTCCCTTGAGGGGTACACTTAGTAAGACATAGAAATTTGAATTGCTCTCAATCCAAATGGTGTAATGCTAATAATAATGAAAACATATGTTGGAAAAAAATAAAACTTCTATTGGAACAGCATTTGCTATGTGTAATACTTTGTCAAGTCATAACTTTATTATGTTCTACACAGCAAAACATTGCCCTAAAGATGATCTTGTGGCTCTGCGATATGTATTTTTACTGCACTAAACTGGTTCAGTGAAATTAGGGAGATTAGGTATAGTTGGAAAGATTAGGATTTAGTTTTCATGTTCGAAGGTATTAACACATTAATATCCATTTTTACTTTGTGCATCCTGAGAGATCACTTTATTCAGTCAGATGAATTTATTAATGTAGTACATAATGAATATACTTGAAACCACTGTGAATTACAAGAAAAGTGATATACTTTCCTTCTTTTATTTTGTTATTCAGGAAAGAGATCAGAGTGGTCGTGAAGCTGCAGAAAGGATTGCTAGTGACTTGAGTAGTCGCCTTCAAACTGCCAAAGCTGAATATCAAACAGTAGCTCTTACCAACCTTCGCCTTGCTAAGAAAATTAAGAAGCTCCGTCAAGCCATAAATTCTCAAAGGGACAATGATGTAAGTTTCTGTAATTTTACCTAATATTTCTGAATTTTGTAGTTTACTTTTTATGCACTGAGATTTGATAAATAAAATTTGTAGTTACTGCAGTTTCCTTAAATATACTAAAGCTTGGCCTTAGGTAAAAACTTGAATAGCAAGCAGTGTGCTTATTTTTAATATTCTCTGCTTTAGTGTGATATAATGATTTTTAATGGAAACAAAATATGCATACAAGTGCGTGAAAGGCCAAGTGAAAATTATGCTGCAGGTTTTAGAGTGAGATTAGTGTGTGTAACATACCAATGGCTTGTACTGGTATTTGTTTCTAGTAAAATCTGGTATAAACAAAAATTAGTGTATTTGAATATTAATGTATGTATATCAGTGGGGTTATGTTTGCAGATAAATCCCCCTTGTTACAAGTGCTGTATATAAAAATATCATTGTTAGAAAAAGTGAGAGATGGCATGATTCATATAATAGTCTGCCTACATATGTGAAGCTATTTCATTGAATAGCTGTGTACATGTCAACCTCACTAGCCTTTTTCTATCCTTCATTATTTTCACCTATTTTCTACTATTTGTTTAAGTTGGGAGTTTAAAAACAAAATCCTGTACAAGGAGTCCCTAGCTAATGAAATTTATACATTTCTGAAAATTATCTAACTTGAATGTTCAGAACCTATGCACAAAATTTACTCACCCTAGATGGGTTACCATGACACCTGGATGACATAAGGTTACAAAACACACTTGATCTTTTCTATCACCTCTTTGATCCTCATCCTCCTCCCTATCTGCATATAGCCCTGTTGCCTTATCCTCCTTTCAAAAGTCCCTTTTTTTCCACATTAGATTATCACCTTTTGAAATTGAAATTGCAGATATACCCAAATGCTTTGAGGTGAATGCCATGCATTTGAGAGCAAATGCCATCTCCCATTTCAGTCGTTGCTGCCTGACGAGATCAGGTTATAACATATTCATGCGAAATACATCAAAATGCTGTAAGCTTCCTGGCTGTTTTGTTTGCACGATTTACAACGTTCTCTCTTTTCTCTCTTTCTTCCCCCTTATCCTTCTATCCCATTTCCTTCCTCGTTCACTCCTTTTACATTTTATCTGGCACAGCACCTGTGTGCTTTCCACCCCTCACTGATGTGGTGAGTGTAACCTAGTACCTTGGTGTGTTATGTGGTAATGGTGTGATCCTTGGCTGTGGAGGAGGGAGGAGATTTTGGTTAGGATAGGGTGTGGATGAGTTTGTGCCTGAACAGCCGCAGCATCATCCTTGATCCACATACATGACAGAACTGCCTCACAGTGGTTACTTAGCATACACAGAATTTTGAAAAATTTAAGAACTTTATTTCTAACTTTGGATGCATCCAAACACTTTGCTGAACTGCCAATGTTTATACAAAAGTCAACTAATTTTTTAAGAGAATTTTTATAGATGTGACTCAGTATTCTGCTGATATCTCCATAATTTATGACATAACCCTAACCCCATTCAACTTTGAAGGAGCTATTATAACATGCCTGTGCATATTGGACCTCTATCAAGAACTTCAAGAAACCACTGCCTTATGCCTTAAATATTCCATGGAGAAGGAGCCTGCACACAGAAGTCATCCCACAGTCATTAACCCTTTTGGAATCTGTCCTGTAATATTACGACTTTGAAGCCAGGATCAGTCTCGTAGTACTACGCTAAAATTCTAGCAGCTTCTAGTCTTGCAGGAGAAAGCTAGTAGACCTACATATGAGAGAATGGGTCTGCACGGTCAGTGTGTACAGTATAAAAAAAAATCTTGCAGCACACATTGCATAATGTGGAAAAATAATTGAGACAGTGTTTTTGGTGTAAAACAGCGACTGCGGTGTATTTTCATGTGGTTTTTATGTTTGTATGCTTGATTTCTTGGTCTCATTTGATAGAATGGAAGATATATTACAGAAATAGAGATGATTCCGATTTGATTCAGTCCAAGGGGAGGGGATAGGTTCAGTTCCTTGGATCAAGAGTCCTTAACTGGCATCACGCATGTAACTGTACTCCTTGAGGAGCACATTCAGATTAAGGTCTCTGGCAGTCAGAAATGGTAACTGTGAGCTATATTGGAAGGAGTGAACACAAATCTAGACATCCGTCAAAAATTAGTTGGATTTGAGAAAGCTCGTATAGGTGTCGGGTTCAAATTTGTTAAATCTTTAATTTTTAAAAAAAGTTTCATAGCACTGCAGTTTTTCTATATTTTGTGCTGGTAAAATAAAAATTTTAAGTGCTTTTATGAATGTGGGGTCATACAGACAGTGACAGTAGCTGAGGAAATGTTCAGTATATATTCAGTGAAATGTGTGTATTTATTTATTTATTTTATTCCACAGAAACAGTCAGTCATGACATCATCTGCATTATTACAAGCTAGTACATGGTTCCATGTAGATGATGAAGCAGATGATGCTGAAGACTTGGAAGTTGGAGCTTGCGCAGATGAAGTAGTAGAATCACCTCCAATTATGACACAGTCATGTTCCACAGTACTAACTGGAACAAGTTGCAGTAGTTGTTCGCATACCACTCAGCAGCTTAGTGAAGCTGTTCACCGCAAAATGGAAGACATAGTTCGAGAACTCTCTCAGCAAATAAACTCTCTTAAGTTGCAGTTACAAACACATCAAGAGGAACAAGAGTCACAGTCGAAGAGTGTTGCCCATGACACCCAACACTCGGAGTCAGAACCTCAGTTAAACACACATCAACAGCAGGAGCAGGAGCAGGAGCAACAGCAGTTGCCAGAGGAGCCAATGCATGAACAAGGACAGCAGGATGATGGACCTGTAGTTCAGGAGGATGATATAACACCAGTAGTTCAGGAAAATATTGATGAGCAGCAAGTTCTTTACAGCAATAGTTTTTTGCCAGCTCTGCAAACTGCACCCGTCTTTCTCCCTGAAAATGAAAGGCAGGAGCCAAGTACCAACCAAGAAGCTAATGGTGCCTCTTTTCAGCCATCAGCACCATCTCCAACTCCTTCCTCGTATCCTTACCTGCCATGTGGCCAGTCTGGTACTAACGGCAGTCCTGCCAATATAGTGAGTTCTCCTATCAATGGTGCCCCACTAGTTGTACCACCATCACACATTCCACCAATTTCTCCAATGTCTGGTTCTGTTCTCCCTCCTCCACTGCAGCCAGAGACAACCCCAACAGCCATTCAGGCTGCTGTAATGAGTCAATTCTCTACCCAGCTGATGCCCGGTAATCAAGGACATGAATCAGATGATGATGACTTCCACAGCACTAGTGACAACGATGACGCAGTACCCCTTCCCACTCAACAGGGGCAGAGGTGCAGTGTATGCTTATCTTTCAACAGTAGTGAATTTATTTTATTCTAATTTTTTTAAATACAACTGGCACAATAATTTTGTTACTGCATTTCAAAAATTTTAACCAAAATATGCCCTTTAACATAATCTTTTATTTACACAGCCACTTGATAGAGTGCCCATTGTGCAGCCTTTCATTTCAATCGGAAGCCATTCGCCTTCTGGAAGAACATATTAATTCTCACCTAGAGCATGTCTGTCCAGTGTGCTCCATGGCTTTCCAGAGAAACAACCAAAAACGGTTAGTCCTTATATTTTTTTGCGTTTTGGATTTTGGAATTATTTTTTTATTCTAAGCATAGATGATGTCCATTGATTTTATTTGAAAATCAAACATGCAGTGACAGGCTTCTGATCCAAGGAATTGGAACTATCCTTCCCTTTGATCATACCTGATTATCTCTCATTTCCTAGAGGCTTCTGATCCAAGGAATTGGAACTATCCTTCCCTTTGATCATACCTGATTATCTCTCATTTCCTAGATGCTACACAAGCCTGGTCTAGCAGCTGGCTCCTTGAATTTAACCCCACCAAATGCAAAGTCATGAAGATCATGGAAGGGCGAAGAAGACCACAGACAGAGTATAGGTGGCCAAAGACTGCAAACCTCACTCAAGAAAAAAGATCTTGGGTGAGTATAATACCAAGCACATCTCCTGAGGTGCACATCAATCAGATAACTGCTGCAACATATGGGTGTCTGGCAAACCTAAGAATAGCGTTCCAATACCTCAGTAAGGAATTGTTCAAAAGACTGTACACCATATACGTCAAGCCCATATTGGAGTATGCAGCACCAGTTTGGAATCCACACCTGGTCAAGAAATTAGAGAAAGTGCAAAGGTTTGCAACGAGATTAGTCCCAGAGCTTAGGGGATTGTCCTACGAAGAAAGGTTAGGGAAATAGGCCTGACGACACTGGAGGACACCAGGGTCAGGGGAGACATAATAACGATATATAAAATACTGCGAGGAATTGACAGAGTGGACAGAGAGGGGATGTTCCAGAGATGGGACAAAGAAACAAGGGGTCAAAATTGGAAGTTGAAGACTCCTATGAGTCAAAGGGATGTTAGGAAGTATTTCTTCAGTCATAGAGTTGTCAGGAAGCAGAACAGCCTAGAAAGTCACGTAGTGGAGGCAGGAACCATACATAGTTTTAACCCCTTTCAGGGTCCACAGGCCCTCTCAGAGACTTGTTCTCAGGGTCCCCAAAATTTAAAAAAAAAAAAAAAAAAAATTCTTATGAAAAAGATAGAGAATCTTTTCCCGATCATAATGACACCAAAAGTATGAAATTTGATGGGAAACTTACGGAATTATGCTCTCACGAAGCTAGCGGTCTCGACGATGTTTATGCATCGGCGATTTTGCCCACTTTGAGCCCTATTTTCAGCCAATTCCAATGTACTAGTCGACAAAAATCATAACTGTTTTGCTAGAACTCCATTTTCTCTATCGAAGGAGTACAAGAAACCACCAATTTACCGATTTCAACTCTCCAATACCGTGGTCAGAATTTAGCAATTTTGCGAATTTCACACAAATTTCAAGAGATACCAGTTTCCAAATAGGGTCCAGAATAAACAAGAAAGACATTCCTGGCACTAAAATAGCATTTCCTCTGTTCATTAGTCACGTCCCCAGGCCCCTCTTACATTTCTTTTGCTTTCCACTTTGAATTTTTATTCTCAAAAAAAAATAAGATTTACTGTGATGCAGACTACTGCATTATTGTAGAAATGGTATAAATAATATCGGCACACTTGTGAAAGAATATTAGACTCGCCAGTTGACGTGTATTGGACGCTTAGCATGATTTGTTTACTTTTGAACTTTGGTAAAAATTGAACATTTCTGCTACTTTGAGCTCGATTTCAAGGTACTTTTCATTGTAAAACTAGTCAAAATCATCTCAATTTCTATAATATGTCTTCCATTCTATACATTGCCATAGGAAAATATAGTGCAAAGTCGCTGTTTTAATCCAAAAAACACGGTCAAAGTTTTTTTTTTTTCATTACGCACTTTGTGCTGCAGGATTTTTTTTTTTATACTGCACACACTGACCACATAGCCCCATTCTTTCATATGTAGGCCTACCAGCTTTCTCTCACTAGATTTGAAGGCGCTAGAATTTATGCGTACTAGTATGTCATGGACACTGGCGCGTAAGCCGTACTAGTACGGCCGAAACCCTGCAAGGGTTACGGCGAGGTTTGATGAAGCTCATGGAGCAGGGAGAGAAAGGACCGAGTAGCAGTTAGTGAAGAGGTGGGGCCAGGGGCTATGACTTGACCCCTGCAACCGCAAATAGGCGAGTGTACACACACACTGGAACCCTGGTGTTTGAACTTAATTGGTTCCTAGTTGGTGTTCGAACTGAAAAAGTTTGATGTCTGAAGCAGCATTTTCCAGGCTAAATCAGCCTCTCACACTGGAGGATGTTGAACCGACTCTTCCAAAAGTTTTTTTTTTTTTTTTATGTAATGATAGAGAATCTTTTTCCAAAGGTAATGAAACCAAAAGTATGAAATTTGATGGAAAGCTTACGGAATTACACCCTCACAAAGCGGTATTTATGCATTGGCAATTTCACCCACTTTGAGCCTATTTTCAGCCAGTTACATTGCTCCATTCAACCAAACTCATAGCTGTTTTGCTAGTATTCCTTCTAACTATTGAGCAACAAGAAATTGCCCATTTACCTATTTCAACTACCTAATAAAGTGATCAGAAATTGGTAATTTGGCCAATTTCACACAAAATGCAAAAATTTCCAATTTAAAAATAAGGTTCAGAATAAACAGTGTAGACATTCCCGTCACTAAAAACCATTTCCTCTGTTCATTAGTATCATCTTCAGACCTTTTCTATATTACATTTGCTTTCCATTTTGAATTTTTATTTACATAAAACCTCTGTAGGCAGACTGCTGCATTATTGTAATAATTGTATAAATAATGTCAGCACATTTGTGAACATGTAATAGACTGACCAGATGGATGGGTATTGAATAAGTAACATAATTTGTGTACTCTGGAATATCAGCAAAAATCGAACATTTCCACTACTTTGAGCTCAGTTTAAATCTACTTTCAACCCTGAAACCAATCAAAATCATCTCTGTTTCTGTAAGATATCTTCCATTCTATCAAATGAGACCAAGAAACTGAGAATGCAACCATAAAAACCATATGAAAATACACTGCAAAGTCACTGTTTTAAACCAAAGACACAGTCGCCATTTTTTCTCTCATGCATTGCATACTGCTTGATTTTTTTTTTATAAGGTGCACACTTGCTGCATAGACCCACTTTTTCATATCTAGGCCCAAATTTACCACTCGCAGTTTATCTGAGAGAGGCGAGCTAATCATGTAGAATAACGGGACTGACCCGGGCTTCAAAGTCATAGTGCAACAGGACCCACCTCAAAAGGGATAAAACTACCTCACACCTTTTCAACCCACTCACTAGCCCATCTTTCTCCCAATAATAGTTGCTTCCATATCACCCTAACTACCTCCTTTCTTAGTTGATAAAATTTCACCCCTCTTACTCACTGATGCCATTTTCCTTCTGCCTCAGCAACCTCTTACACTGTAGCTACAATAAAATAATGATCTGCTTTATCTGTTGCCCCATCTATAAACATGCACATCCAGAGGTCTACCTATTAACCTTTTATTCACCAATACATAATCCAACAAACTTGTCATTATGCCCTATGTCATATCATGTATACTTATCCTCTTTCTTAAAAGAGGATATTACTTATTACCAAACACTCTTTCTATACAAGGTTCAATTAAAGGCCCCCATTATCATTTACCCCTGGAAAAATAAATGCATTATAATGCATTTGTTTATTGACTACATTTCATCCACACAGTGAGATTTTATCAAGTCACAGATCTGCCTGGGTAAAAAGTACATGAGTATATATAGGGTTGAGAGTCAGGTAGAGAATGTCGAGTAGGTTGGATTCGAGATGGATTTGCAAGGGATGGGCAAGCGTGTGTGTGTTACGTAGGATAAAGTTTCTTGGCAAGGGGGTTCAGCTATGTTGTAAAAGCCATTGTTCTTGTTGAAATTGTTAGATATACAGATAAGTGATGATTCCAAGATTCTGTAGTACTGAGTGTCGTCTTCTCTGGTGATAAGTTTGGTGTGTGTGTAGTTGATTGAATGGCTGTGGAAATTTTGGTGTAAAACAGACATTCCTTAAATCATCCATTTTGCCTGCATATTGGTGTTCTGAAATACATTTAAGTACCCCACCACAATTACTTTCTCACTTGGTTCAAAACTCCCTAAACAGTCACTTAACATCTCCAAAAATATATCTCCACTACACTCCTCTTTTCTCCAGGTGCCCCTCAAGGGAGGTTCTGTGATGCTGGTGTGGGGCTCTTGATTTAGGGAATTGAATCTATGCTCCAGTTCCCTGAATTAAGCTTGAATACCTTCCATTCCCCCCCCCCTCCCCAGGCACTGTAAAAACCTTATGGGTTTAGAGCTTCCACATGATTATAACAATGATAATCTTCTCCAGGTGCATAAACACTTAATATAACTCACTTCACAACTGACCCTTATTTTGCTCTACATAATTCTTTTATTTATATTCCCTCCTTTCCTGCCATAACTGTTCCCTCAACATTACTGCTGCTCCTTTTTTTGTTTGAAGTTAAAAACTTCAAACAAAAAAAGTGGAGTAGCAATATAGTATCTTACATAGATTGAAGAATCATTTGCTGGGTCCAGGGCTTTAATACAGTTGACTTTTGCACGTAAGCCATTAAATTTTTGAAAATATATAACATGGACATATTTATATCTTGATATGTTACTTTCGATAGGTTTGAGGATCATGTTCACGCACACTTCGCAGAAGAAGGTTCAGATGACCATAATCCTTTGGATGATCCCTCAGGCCCCTGGGGTCCACAGTTCAGGGCAGCACGCCTCTTGGAGATTGATTAAGAAGTTTCAAGAGATCATAAGGGATGCATGTGCATATCAAAAGCTATATTGGGTTTGTTGCTGGTTGTAATATGGCTGGAAGAACTCTGCACAATAGATAAAACTATATTACTTTTCTTTATGGCTCATGAATGCAATGTATTCTAGTGTAAAATTATGTAATTTTAGCACTCTTTGGAAGTTTCAGTATGTTTGATGTAACTAGTGAAATGCTGAATTATCCATTGGAGTATATGTTTTAGCACAATAAATATTGGCCTGGTGATAAGGTTTTCACTACAATATGCCTCATGCTTATTATATTGTGTAGGTATGATTAGAATGTGGAACAGCCACAAGTGCTCAAGGCATACTTTATATGCAGCACTTGTATAGTGGATCATTCTTTTTTAGATATATTGACTGAAATTGCAGACTAGTATCAAAGGAAATATAAATTGTAGCTTACTTTAAATTTTAATTGTGTACCAAAATTAACATGTAAACTGGCATTGAAAGGAATGCTTCAAATATTTTTAAATTTATTTCTTTAATATTGTGCACATGTTGATCACTGAATTTCTGATAACTGAAATTTTGATATTAAAAAAAAAAAAAGCTACTAGCACATAGCTAATAACAGTATAAAGTAACCATGAATTGGTTACTTTATATTGTAAAGCAAGGAAACCACAAATATATACATTTCTGTTTTGTAATCTATTATTATTATTATAATCAAAAAGAAGCGCTAAGCCACAAGGGCTATACAGCGCTGCTTTTGTAATCTAATTTCTGTAAAACCATTTATTTTTACCCATTACTTGTTATTGTATATATTAGCTATGCTTATAAGGTTCAGTTTTCCTTAAAGTACTGTATTATTATTACATTCATGGGGGAGCACCAAACCTGTAGATGTCATACAGTGCCTAGGAGAATAAAAGGTATTTAGGCTTGATTCACGGAATTGGAACATACGTCCAATTCCTTTAGTGTACACTATTATAAGTTTCAAATTGTAATATTGCTTTTTAGTTCATTCCAGTTAACTTTTATGGAAAAAATGCATCTTCCTGTTGAAAGATCAACTATGTATTCCCATCCAGGTTTTTGCATTCTTTCATAAGTTGTGTCATCCACTCTTATTTTCTCGAGACCTTTTCAGAGCCTTTAGCTCTAAGCATCACTTAAAGTTCTGGGATACATTTGTACTTTTTTGTCATACATTTCTCTTGATTTGGACACTATGCAACAGTTGCATATTTTAGATCTAATATGTACAGTATTAAACATTTCTTTGGCAATTTTCCATTTGTGTACTTGAAAGGTCATGGACAGTTTGTCTATATATAAAAGAATCTTTTAGAAAATATAGAAGCGAGCACTGTTGATTGTATTTAATGCTTACTACATTAGAAATGTAAAAGTAATATAGGTAGACATTGATGTATAAAAATGCATAACTTTACAACATGCAGTAAGAGTTCGAGTGTTTGTAATATAAAATTTTCTAGAACTCTCCTACAAATTTGTAGTAATAAAACTGCAAAAATTCAGGATTTAAGTAAGAGAAAATTAGTTTTGAAATGAACAGAATTTAAATTTGGTATATCTTTATTTTTTTTTAAAGGATCAAGAATTTCTAGGTTTTGTATTATTATTATAATCAAAAAGAAGCGCTAAGCCACAAGGACTATACAGCCTAGGTTTTGTAGTGATAATAAAGGCCTTTATCAGAACCAAAGGGAAAGCCACACCCATAGGCTGAGAACTTCAGCTGACGCATCTTTTTTTTTTTCGTGTGTGTGTGTGTGTAGATCATGTAATTGTTTCAGTATTTTAATTGCAAGAATAAAAACATTTGACCTCTAAAAAATTATTTTGTAAAGAAGTCTGAAAAGAAGAACTACTATTCCACAATTCTTGACCAATTTGTAACAAGTCTACAACACATGTATAAAAGTAACATTTATCAAGATAATTGATATCTTGTGTAAGTAAATAAACTATTGAAATTATGAAATACAATGTAGTCCTACTCGTCTTGAATGGCATAATTAAATTAAAATGTATTTGAAACCAATGGGGCCATCAAAAATTACAGTTGACCAGTCCATTCTAAACAAATATGATCCACCATATGCATGAAATTAATGTGCTGCTAAGTCATATAGAGTAGACCGTCGTTTAACACAGTAGTTACGTTCCTGAAAATGCCGTGTTAGTCAAAACCATGTTAGACAAACTGAAGAACTTTGGGGAAAATAGGGTTGCATTCCTGGGAGCCCCCACAAAGCCAAAGAACTTTTTTCTAGACCTCCAGATCTTGCAAAATCAAAGTGAATATATAATTGGAAATAAATGGTATTAAATACCGACACAGTGGAAATATAAACACACATGCAGTATAATGTGATCCTTTATTGACAACGTTTCACCCACACATTGGGCTTTTTTCAAGTCTCACACAGATCTACCTGGGGTGGAAGGTACGGGAGTATTTATAGTCATGTTCAGAATGTTGAGGTCAGGTGGAGAATGCTGCATCTGATGATCTACCGGGTGGAGTTATAGAGTCTTGGGTAGCTTGGCAGGGGTATTGGACAAGTTGTGAGAAGACCTTCTGCAGTGTTCTATGTTCTTATGTGAGATAGCGATGAAGAAGTTTCTTGGCAAGTGGTTCAGCTATGTTATAGAAGCCGTTGTTCTGGTTGAAATTGTTGGTTATAGAGATAAGCGATGATTCCAGGATTCTTCGGTATTGAGTGTTGTCTTCTGTGGCGATAAGTCTTGAGTTTCTGTAGTTAATTAAATGGTTGTGTGAATATATAATTGTAGTTCATTGTCATGATATATTACTGCTTAAGACTACAAATGCAATAGAAATAATAGTATTTTAATTGCAAGAATAAAAACATTTGACCTCTAAAAAATCTGAGAAAAATTATTTTGTAGTCTGAAAAGAGTAACTATTATTTCACAATTCTTGACCTTAAATTGTGGGTAATGATGACTGAAGAGTGGATATGGATGGTGTGGACCTACTGAGCTGAGGTGGATGGTAGAGGTTCTGGTACTAAAGTTGATGGTCGTACTGGAGTGTGCATAAATCAGTCAAGTCGGTCAGTATGTTAAGTCGTCACACAAACTCATATTTACCTCATTCTTTTTGTGTACAGTGACGATTCATTACTGCCACTCGTGAGCCACTCTTAAGCTTATCTAATATCTCAATTTTCATCGTAATTCCTAAACCTGAACACTTAAACCTTTTCTTGTCACTTGTGGGAACCCTTGTTTGCTTACTGGGTGCCATGATTGCTTGGCAGATTTAATAAATGGTAATGAAAATAAAATATGTATGTAAATACACATTGAGCTTCCCAAGTATCATCGTCCTACACGAGTATGAACCGAACTGAAGGGTGGTGTGGGTGGCTTAGGGTGCGGGGGATGGTGGTAGGTCTTCCCCGTTGACTCAGTGGTGTAACCCACAGACCATCCTGCCCAGTGGGCAACCGTGTGCTCAAAATTTTTTCTCCTCCCACAACCGTGTTAAACTAATTTTATGAAGTGTTAAACAAAAATATGCCGCAATTCTTCAATTGTGCTATAACAAAAACGTGGAAGACAAATCCGTGTTAAACAACAGTCTACTGTATATACATATTGTGTGTTAGCCATTTCTCCCTTATCACACACTACAATAAACTTGTTTTGCTCCAAAATCATGTTGTGAAAAGGATACACACACGACAGTTACTTGCAAACAGTAAAATATTGGCATAAAAGCTTCGGTTTTAGACAAGCTACTGTATACAGTTTACACAACTGTTTGCATTGCCATGATATTTGAAAGAAAGTGTTGACTGGATCCTTTGTTTCAGGGAAAGTTTTGGTATTTTCTCTCAGATTTTTGGCCATTTTGAATCAAGTTGGAACCAGTTAAATTTTTGAGACAATGAAAAATTGTTGTCATGAGTGTTTTCATGGGAAAGTGCTAAACCTATAAGGACAATACAGTACCTACTGATTATAACTGAATTTCTGATTCATGATAAATCTGGTTTACTGAAGTCACTGTATTTAACATTTGGAACCTTCCTTAATTTAATAATGAAATGAAGTGTGAAACCCACAGGAACCGTAGACTTCATGGGGCATGGGAGGCAATCTTGTTTGATCCAAGGAATGATAAGAAGGAAGTCCAATTCCTTGGATGAACAGCTCTCATCTGTATCAAGAAACCTCCCTTGAGGGGAAATTTTCTTTTTGTGGGATGCAATGACTTGTATTATGTTACAGATATAATGGTCTAATAAAGAAGAATGAAGAAAAACGAGTAAGAAGGATTATTGTATTACACAGATATAATGGTCTAATGTAGAAGAATGAAGAACATTATTATTATCGTAACTAAGAGCTAAACCCACAAGGGGAGAATAAATAAAAATGAGTAAGAGGGGAAGACGGCAAATGAAAGTGCTAGCACAGATGATGAAAGTTATAAATGTTTTACACAGTTTCAGTGACCAGTGGTGTACCCTGTTTTAAAAAATTAAGTATTTGGGTCTAAATATCTGATCTGTCATGAACAATACACAGCAAATTATAATTACACACACTGTACTACACAGCTCCAATAAATTATAACAGTTACTAGATCCTAATTATTCAGCCTTCCAGATGGGTTTAGCATTTTTGGGGGGAATATTGTATATCAGAAGAAATTTCATCCAAAATATATTTGCCATGTATTTTTTGATCAAAGCAATTATGTCAATATTTCTTTGTACAAAAACTTCATACATTTACATTAAAGAGGGAAAAGCAACTCGCCCCAATGGATGAGACCTGAGGGTACCAGTGCTGTAGCCAGGGTAGGTGAAGTTATTTTGCTACACAGATTTAATTTACTGAATGCATTTTTTATGTTACTTTGTTAACCCTTTGACTGTTTGATGTATATATACGTCTTACAAGCCAGTGTTTTTGACGTATTTATACTCCAAAATTCTAGCGGCTTCAAATCAAGCGGGAGAAAGCTGGTAAGCCCACATGTGAGAGAATGGGTCTGTGTGCACAGTATAAAAAAAATCCTGCAGCACGCAGTGCATAACGAGAAAAAAAACTCCAAATGTGTTTTTGGATTAAAATGCCGACTTTGAGGTGTATTTTCGTATAGTGTTTATGGTTGTATTTTCATTTTCTTGGTCTCATTTGATAGAATGGAAGACATGTTACAGAAATAGAGATGATTTTGAGTAGTTTCACGATGAAAAGGACCTTGAAATTGAGCTCAAAGTAGTGGAAATGGTCGATTTTTGCCGATGTTCAAGAGTAAACAAATGATGTCATTGTCCAATAAGTGTCCAACTAGCCATTCTAATACGCAGTCACGAATGGGTTGACATCATTTATACAATTATTACAATAATGCAGTAGTTTGCATAACAGTAAATCTTCTATTTTTTGTGAATAAAAATTCAAAATAGAAGGCAAGAGTAATATGAGGGGCCTGGAGACATGACTGATGAACAGAGAAAATGTTATTTTTAGTGCCAGTCTGCACTGTTTATTCTGGACCCTATTTTAAAAATGGCATTTTTTTTTATTTGCATGAAATTGGCCAAATTACCAATTTCTGACCACTTTATTGGGTAGTTGAAATCAGTAAATGGGTGATTTCTTGTACTCAGTCGATAGAACAAATGGAGTTCTAAAGAAATAGCTGTAAGTTTGGTCGACTGGAACAATGGAATTGGCCGAAAATAGGACTCAAAGTGGGCGAAATTGCCGATGCGTAGATATTGCCGAGATTCCTAACTTCATGAGAGTGTAATTCCGTAAGCTTTCAATCAAATTTCGTACTTTTGGTGTCATTACCATTGGGAAAAGATTCTCTATCATTTCATATGAAAAAAAAAAAAATTTTTTTAAATTCTTAAACACTGAGAGCAAGTTTGTGAGCAGGGGTCTCGACAGTCAAAGGGTTAAAGCACTTGGACTCAACCCATGCTATAACACTAACCAGGATGCCACTGTGAAGTAAAAATAACTACTCAGTACCCTGCTTGATTCAAGATTAACTGTGGTAACTAATCTTTAACCTGCCACAAATGTATTTAGCAAGCATAGGTGCAGCAAGGCAAACTACTACTACTATTACATGGTGGACAATGAGGGTTTGAAACATGTCAGTCATTGAGCTGGGATCTGTTGTTATGACTAGCAGCTAGCATTAATAAGATTGAGCATTATATAATTATTATGCCTTGTTTAAAAATGATAATTTAATTTCATTTAAAACTAAGTTGATCTGGATTATAGTCAGTTTACTTTTTTCCTGGCACTTGGTTTACTTTTTCTGGCACCAGAAATAGGACACAGTAACATCCAAGTTTTTACCATTTATTTATATGCATGAAGAACTTGGAGTTTATATTGATAATAAATGTACTCTTTAGTTTTATAAATATATATTAATATGTTACAATATTTGGTTTTATTTGTGAAAACTGTCCCTTCTGTAAGTACTATATATTAATTTATTGGCATTTCACATAAAAAGTTTATTAAAACATTATATCTAGCAGCATTTCGTGTCTTTTTAATCGTTGGAAGCTATGATGTGTCATAGCTCTGTGATAGGATTTTCCAAAGTACTATACTGTAACAACACAGTATGGCCTGTCTTCTTCTCTAAAATTTTCAACTTGTAATACTAGTACGAGTATAGTGAAATATACTAATATTGTACAGTGTTAACTTTTTTTTTAATCCATAGTGAAAGCTGTAAAATACAATGGTGTTTCTTTTTTTAAATTCTTGGCTGTATCTTCGTTAAAACCAAATTATCTTTTACATTTCATCATTGTTTATATTACAGTTGAACCCCAGGATTTGCAAGAGATAGTTTCCTGAAGGTTCCTTTGTACCCTGATGTCACAAATAATAGGAAATTCTGCATGTCTGAATTATTAAAAAACTTTGTATGTATTTTGTATTTTACACAAATTAAAAAAAAAAAATACTGCAATAAATAAATCACATACCTCTTGATGATTGGTATGTTTGACAAGTGATGATGTTGACTTCTATGGAAAGTCCACTATATGGTTCCTCTGAAGAATAACCTTTGAGGTGTTGCTTGTGTGGTGACTGAGGAATTAGCCAAGATGCTAGTTCATATCTATGCTGGACCTCAGCTTGGCTAAATGTAGGATAGAAAAGTATCTTCCAAAGTTCTTTTGAATACTATAAAACTGAGTAAAGGACACATGCACCTGTCACTTGCTCCAGGAACTTTTGCCTAATAATAGTTGACCAGGGTTGAAAACTTGCTTTGGATTGGATAAGGCATTCAAAAGTTTTAAGCAAAAGCTTGGAAGGAAGTTAGTGAAAGATAAGAACATTTGCCAGCTCTGGCATAAAGTCATACAGTATTGAAAGGTTCATTAAACTCATATTTGATTTTTGTTTTTAACTGTGGCATACCCAGAAATTAAATTCCCATGGGGCAAGATGATGAAAAAGGATGCATTTTATGAATCAAATAAAACTTTATAAAATGAATAGAATTTCATAAAACTTGTGATTTTATGGTACACTGAAGTCAACAAAAAAAAAAAATCACTTTTTTGGTAACAGCAGTATAAATGCACCAGCAATACAGTGGACCCTCGACCAACGATATTAATCCGTTCCTGAGAGCTCATCGTTAGTCAAAATTATCGCTAGTCGAGTTAATTTTCCCCATAAGAAATAATGGAAATCAAATTAATTCGTTCTTGACACCCCAAAGTATTGAAAAAAAAATTTTACCACATGAATTATTAATTTTAATACACACAAACTGAAGAAGACATGTACAATTACATGACACTTACCTTTATTGAAGATCTGGTGATGATTGATGGGATGGGAGGAGGGGAGTGTGTGGATGGTGTTACTGTTTAGAAGGGGAATCCCCTTCCATTAGGACTTGAGGTGTCAAGTCCTTTTCTGGGGTTGCTTCCCTTCTTCTTTTAATGCCACTAGGACCAGCTTGAGTCATTGGACCTCTGTCACACAACATATCTGTCCACAGAGGCCTGTACCTCCCGTTCCTTTATGACATTCCTAAAGTGTTTCACAACATTGTCATAGTCACCAGCACGGCTTGCAATAGCTGTGTGAGGGTGATTTTCATCAAAAAAGGTTTGCACTTTAAGCCACATTGCACACATTTCCTTAATCTTTGAAGTAGGCAACTTTTTCAATTTCTCTATCCCTTCCTCCGGAGCAGTTTCCTCAGGTCTGGCCTCTTGCTGTTGAAGATGATCTTGCAGCTCATCAGTAGTTAGTTCTTCACTGTCCTCCTCCACCAACTCTTCCACATCCTCCCCACTAACCTCCAACCCAAAGGACTTCCCCAATGCCACAATTGATTCCACAACTGGCATAGGCTTCTCAGGGTTAGCCTCAAACCCTTCAAAATCCCTTTTGTCTACACATTCTGGCCACAGTTTCTTCCAAGCAGAGTTCAAGGTCCTCTTAGTCACTTCCTCCCAAGACTTACCTATAATGTTTACACAATTGAGGATGCTAAAGTGATCTCTCCAAAACTCTTAGAGTCAATTGAGTTTCTGAGGTCACTACAAAGCACCTTTTAAACATAGCTTTTGTGTAGTTTTTTTTGAAGTTTGCAATGACCTGCTGGTCCATGGGCTGCAGGAGAGGAGTGGTATTAGGAGGCAAAAACTTCACTTTGATGAAGCTCATGTCCCCAGAAAGTCGCTCTGCCAAGTCTGAAGGATGACCAGGAGCATTGTCTAATACCAGGAGGCACTTAAGGTCCAATTTATTTTCCAGGAGGTAATTTTTCAGTGGGGGCAAATGCATGGTGTAACTAGTCATAGAAAAAGTCCCTAGTGACCTATGCCTTACTGTTTGCCCTCCACAGCACACACAAATTAGCCTTGAGGACACTTTTTCCTGAACACTCTGGGAGTTTCCGAGTGATACACCAATAAAGGCTTCACTTTGCAATTACCACTAGCATTAGCACACATCAACAGAGTAAGCCTGTCTTTCATAGGCTTATGTCCTGGGAGTGCCTTTTCCTCCTGAGTAATGTAGGTCCTGCTTGGCATTTTCTTCCAAAACAGGCCTGTTTCGTCACAATTAAACACTTGTTCAGGTTTCAGTCCTTCAGCCTCTATGTACTCCTTGAATTCCTGCACGTATTTTTCAGCTGCTTTTTGGTCCGAACTGGCAGCCTCACCATGCCTTATCACACTATGTATGCCACTTGCATCACCACTAGTTGCAGGCATTTTTCTAATTAAATCATCATGCAACTTCCTAGGCTTTTCACATATGATCGCTCGAGAGATGCTATCTCCTGCTATCTGTTTTTCGTTTATCCACACCAATAACAGTCTCTCAACATCTTCTATCACATTAACATTATAACACTTAACCTTTATTGGCAATTCTTCTTTGTGTATGGAACACTGGAGAAGGAGACAGATTGGATTATTTACCGTTTGGAAGGGGAATCCCTTTCCATCAACACCTCTGGTACCAATTGCTTTTCTGGGGTTACTTCTCTTCTCTGTTTCTTAATGCCACTAGGACCACCTTGAGAGTCACTGGAGTCCTGTCTCGCAAAAAAAACTGTCCAGAGAGCTCTGTTTCTTGCGTCTCTAAAATTTCCCTAAAATGGGTCAAGACTCTGTCACTGTACAAGTTGCCGACATGGCTTGCAACATCCTTCTCAGGATGATGTTTCTCCATGAATCTTTCCATTCTACCCCACATTTCAAAAATCTCCTTAATTTCTGAAGAAGGCACCTTCCATCTCTCTTCCTCCTCCTCTGCAGCAAGATTCTGATCTGCGATCTGTTGCTCTTCCTGCTGAAGCTCTTGCAGCTCCTCAGTGGTTAGCTCTTTGTTGTGGTCCTCCACCAACTCTTCCACATCCTCCAAACTCACATCCAACCCCATGGAACCCCCCAGTGCAACAATAGAGTTCACAACTGACATAGGCTCATCAGGGGCTGCCTCAAACCCTTCAAAATCCCTCTTGTGGACACAATCTGGCCACAATTTTCTCCAAGCAGAGTTCAAAGTCCTGGTAGTCACTCCCTCCCAAGTCTTACCTATAAGGCTTACACAATGGAGAATACTGAAGTGTTCTTTCCAAAAATCTCTTAGGGTCAAGTGAGTGTCTGAGATCACATTAAAGCACCTTTCAAACATTGCTTTGGTGTAGTTTTTTTTAAAGTTTGAAATGACTTGCTGGTCCATGGGCTGGAGGAGAGGAGTGGTATTCGGGGGCAAGAACTTTACTGTGATGAACCCAAACTCCTTCAGAATTAGGTCATCCAAGTTTGGAGGATGAGCAGGTGCAATGTCCATTACTAGGAGGCACTTGAGATCCAATTTCTTTTCCAGGAGGTAATTCTTCACACAAGGGCCAAACACTTCATTGAACCACTCGACGAAAATGTCCCTCGTGACCCATGCCTTACTATTAGATCTCCAAAACACGCACAATTTACTCTTCATAACATTGTTTTTCTTGAACACTGGGATTTTCATAATGGTACACTAGTAACAGCTTCACTTTGAAATCCCCACTACCATTAGCACAGAACATTAGCATCAGCCTGTCTTTCATAGGCTTGTGTCCTGGCAGTGCCTTTTCTTCCTTAGTAATGTAGGTCCTCTTTGGCATTTTCTTCCAAAAGAGGCCTGTGTCGTCACAATTGAACACTTGTTTGGGTTTCAGTCCTTCAGTCTCTACGTACTCCTTGAATTCCTGCGCATATTTTTCAGCCACTTTGTTGTCAGAACTGGCAGCCTCACCATGCCTTACCACACTGTGTATGCCAGTACGCTTCTTAAATCTCTCAAACAAGCCTTTGCTGGCCTTAAATTCACTCACATCACCACTAGTTGCAGGCAATTTCTTTACCAAATTGTCATGCAACTACCTAGCCTTTTCACAAATAAGCGACGCCATAAGACTATCTCCTGCTAATTGTTTCTCGTTTATCCACGCCAATAATAACTTCTCAACATCTTCAAGTACTGGTGATCTCATTTTTGTTAGCATATTTACCCCCTTTGCAACAACAGCATCCTTGATTTCCTTTTTCTTGGCTATGATGGAAGATATGGTTGTACGAGATTTGTTATACATCCTGGCCAGTTCGCCCACACGTACGCCACTATCACATTGTTCAATGATGTTTTTCTTAAATTCAGTCATATTTCTCACCTTCTTTACCAAAAGCTTGGCACTAGGAGCTTTCTTTGGAGCCATGGTAGCTTATTTAGCACTTGTAAGCACTAAAATCAATGGAATATTATGAAATATTTCGTTGGAGCAAGTGAGGGGACCGTTGCTCACTGGTAAACAATGGCACACTGGCTGGGAAGGGAAGGCCCAGGCGGCTCAGAGCGTGAGTATGCGTCCCGGACGAAGGACTATTAGCGAGTTAACGGACCACTTGCGAGCCAATGTTTAGACGAAATAACAGGACTATTTCCAAAATGGACAACTTTCAGTCCGGACGATTGAGGGACCACTGTATATTATATATATATTATATTATATATATAAATATATTTTATATATTATATATATATAATATAATATATATATATATATATATATAAACAAAGTTGGCATCCTTTCCAAGATACACTGCTATACAGGAGGGCCCTGCTTATACGGAAGTTTAGGTTTCAGGCTACTGCCATAGAGCGGATTCTTTTTTTTTTAAACTTGCACAGTAGGGCCCCACTTTTCGGCGTTCCGCTAATACGGCGATCTCAAATTATGACCAAAACTTTCTATATGGTACGTGGTCTTTCTAATACAGCATGCGCCACCCGGTTTGTTTACATTCTCCATAAGCACATCTCTCTATTATGTAATAATAATCACTCTTAGGCACATTAACCCGTAAACGGTCCAAGCAGATCTACGTTCACATGTGTAGTGCTCCGAAAGTAGATCTACGTTTTTTTGACATTTTCAAATATATATAAAAAAAAAAAAGTAAATCAAAGTTTTTTTGCACATTTTCAAATGTAAAAAAAAAAAAAAAAAAAGATCTACTTTTTTACATACTTTCAAATGTTGAAAAAACGTATATATACGTTTGGACCGTTTACGGGTTAAATGTCTAATTTTAAGTTAATATAAACAATTTCATTAATCCATCTATGATATTTTCTTCAAAATTATACAAGAAACACATTACATAGCATATAAACATACTGTTTATATGCTATGGAAGTGTGGTAGCCGGGTGGAGGGAAAACATAACGTCACTCCCCTTAATACATAACACTTTTTGTTTACAATTCTCGGCATGAATTATTCATTACTTCTCTATTTGTTTATGATGGCATCTAAAGGTAGTTGATAGAAACGATTAAACTCAGTAAACATGGTATGTCGATGGTAATAATATGGCTCTGGGCCACATTAACCCTTTGAGGGTCGACAGGCCCTCTCCGAGACTTGTTCTCAGGGTCGGCCAAATTTAAAAAAAAAAATATTTTTTTCTTATGAAAAGATAGAGAATCTTTTCCCGATCATAATGACACCAAAAGTATGAAATTTGGTGGAAAACTTACGGAATTACGCTCTCGCGAAGTTAGCGGTCTCGACGATGTTTACGCATCGGCGATTTTGCCCACTTTGAGCCCTATTTTCAGCCAATTCCAGTGTACTAGTCGACACAAATCATAACTATTTCTCTAAAACTCCATTTTTTCTATTGAATGAGTACAAGAAACCACCCATTTACTGATTTCAACTCTCCAATACAGTGGTCAGAATTTAGCAATTTTGCCAATTTCACACAAATTTCAATAGATGCCAATTTCCAAATAGGGCCCAGAATAAACAAGACATTCCTGGCACTAAAATAACATTTCCTCTGTTCGTTAGTCACATCCCCAGGCCCCTCTTATATTTCTTTGGCTTTCCACTTTCAATTTTTATTCTTACAAAAAATGGAAGATTTACTGTTATGCAGACTGCTGCATTAGTGTAGAAATGGTATAAATAATATCAGTGCACTTGTGAAAGAATATTAGACTCATAAGTTGACGTGTATTGGACGCTTGGCATGATTTGTTTACTTTTGAACTTTGGTAAAAATCAAACATTTCTGCTACTTTGAGCTCAATTTCAAGGTACTTTTCATTGTAAAACCAGTCAAAATCATCTCAATTTCTGTAATATGTCTTCCATTCTATAAAATGAGACCAAGAAAACTAGAATACAACACTAAATACCATACGAAAATACAGTGCAAAGTCGGTTTTATTCCAAAAACACAGTTTTTTTTCTCATTATGCACTGTGTGCTGCAGGATTTTTTTTATACTGCGCACACTGACCACAGACCCATTCTTTCATATGTATGTCTACCAGCTTTCTCCCACTAGATTTGAGGACGCTAGGATTTAGGCGTACTAGTACGTCAAAAACCCTGGGTCGTAAGCCATACTAGGGTTAAATGTCGTGTAGCTATGTAGGTAGGTGTAGGAATGTAGCCCAGGTGGACTACATACCAACATTATTATAACTGATAATTATATGTATGTGTACCAGTACCTAAGTAAACTTACACACTGTGCTGGCATGCAGGTACACATTAATATCAGCAAGTGTCTTATTAGTCTTGAAGATGCCATATTAATAATAATAATAATAACACAACAATAATCACTCTAAGGAGCATTAAATATCATATAAAACAATATAGACATTTTGCTTAATCCATCTAAATACACCCCACAGTAGAATAAATTAACATAAATATGAGATGTGGTAGTCAGGTGACTTGTAGGACTCACGAAATCGTAATGACACGATTGCAAACAAACCATACCCCGGCCGGGATTGAACCCACGGTCATAGAGTCTCAAAACTCCAGCCCGTCACGTTAGCCACTAGACCAGAGTTTTGAGACTCTATAACCGCGGGTTCAATCCCGGCCGGGGTATGGTTTGACTTGTAGGACTTATGGTAGCCAGGCAACTTGTAGAACCTGTGGTAGCCAGACAACTTGTAGGACTTGTAGCCAGGCAACTTGTAGGACTTGTGGTAGCCAGGCAACTTGTAGGACTTGTGGTAGCCAGGCAACTTGTAGGACTTGTGGTAGCCAGGCAACTTGTAGGACTTGTGGTAGCCAGGCAACTTGTAGGACTTGTGGTAGCCAGGCAACTTGTAGGACTTGTGGTAGCCAGGCAACTTGTAGTCCAACATCAGAGAAAATGTGTCACTATAATTTTACTGGGGGTAACTAGAAAATTATTCCTTTCGTATGCCTTCACTCAGGGTGTCATTTCTTCTAAAAATGGTGTTACATGAGAATGGGAGTGTTTCTCTTTATTTATTCTACTGTATCAACGTGGAAACAACTTGTACACAATATAAAGTGATGAAAGCCAAACACGTTCATGGGTGGGGTGGTGAGGGTTGCCCTTCCTAGCTACCCATACTTCTTAACTTGACTTTATACAAATAAAACTCACCTCTCACCCTACATTAAGACTACAAATATTTTAAGGTAATTAACCCTTCGACTGTTTCGGTCGTATATATACGTCTTATGCGCCACTGTTTCGGACACATTTATATGTGTAAATTCTAGCAGCTTCAAATCAAGCAGGAGAAAGCTGGTAGGCATACATGTGAGAGAATGGGTCTGTGTGGTCAGTGTGCACCACAAAAAAATCCTGCAGCACGCAGTGCATAATGAGAAAAAAAAACATTGTTTTTTTGGATTAAAACGCCAACTTTGAGGTGTATTTTCGTATAGTATTTATCATTGTGTTCTCGTTTTCATGGTCTCACGTGATAAAATGGAAAACATATTACAGAAATAGAGATGATTTTGATTAGTTTCAAGATGAAAACGATCTTGAAATTGAGCTCAAAGTAGCAGAAATGTTCAATTTTTACCAATGTTCAGGAATAAGCAAAATCACACCACACGTCCAATACACGTCAACTGGGGACTCTAATATTCTTTCACTAGTGCACCGATATTATTTATACCATTTTTACAATAATGCAGTATTCCGCATAACAGTAAATCTTCTATTTTTTTGTATGAATAAAAAATAAAAGTAGAAAGCAATAGTAATATAAGAGGGGCCTGGAGATATGACTAATGAACAGAGGATATGTTATTTTAGTGCCAAGAATGTCTACATTGTTTATTCTGGACCTTATTTTGAAATTGGCAGCTTTTTTTAATTTGTGTCAAATTGGCCAAATTGCCAATTTCTGACCACTTTATTGGGTAGTTCGAATTGGTAAATGGGCGGTTTCTTGTAATCAACTGATAGAAAAAATGAAGCTCTAAAGAAATAGCTGAGTTTCGTTAACTGAAACAACGGAAACTGGCCAAAAACCGAGCTCAGAGTCGGCAAAATCGCTGATGCGTATATGTCATTGAAACCGCTAACTTCGCGAGAGCACAATTCAGTGAGTTTTCGACCAAATTTCGTACTTTTGGTGTCATTACCATCGGGAAAAGGTTCTCCATCATTTCATAAGAAAAAATAATTTTCTTTTTTCAAAAAATTTTGTGACACAGAATGACAGTTTCAGAAAGGGGCTTACGACAGTCAAAGGGTTAATGAGTGTACTATACAGTGGACCCCCGCATAACGATTACCTCCGAATGCGACCAATTATGTAAGTGTATTTAAGTAAGTGAGTTTGTACGTGTATGTTTGGGGGTCTGAAATGGACTAATCTACTTCACAATATTTCTTATGGGAACAAATTCGGTCAGTACTGGCACCTGAACATACTTCTGGAGTGAAAAAATATCGTTAACCGGGGGTCCACTGTATATGCATTTTATCGCTCTAGGGAGCTTAATGTCGTAGTAGGTGGGAGTGGCCAGGCAGGATGCCATACTTCTCGCATAACTTTCTACAAATAAATACTTTTCACCTCTCACCCTACATTAAGACTAAATATTTTAAGGTAAGTAATACGTGTACTGTACGCATATGCATTTTATCGCTCTAGGCAGCTTTAAGCATCGTAATATAATATGTGTGGGTGGGGTGGCCAGGAGGGCCACGACACCTGACTTCTTAGAGTAAATACTACTCACCTTTTGCCCTACATTAAGACTACAAATATTTTGAGGTAAATAATGAGTGTACTGTATGTACATGTATTTTACTTTTTAATGCCTAGTTCTATTGCTAACTTAATATATGTTAGTGTAAACTTGTTATCTGGCATTTATATGCATTATAAATGGAAAAAATGGAATTCTGCTTTCCAGCGAAGTCTGCTTTCCGGCAGTAGCCTGGAACCTAACCTGCCGAATAAGTGGGGCCCTACTGTAAATGCCTATATAAATGCATGATAACATGTTTACACTATCATATATTAAGTAGGACTAAGCATAGAAAAAACTAAGTAAAATGCACATACAGTATGCTCATTACTAACCTTAAAATATTTGTAGTCTTAATGTAGGGTGAGAGGTCAATAGTATTTATTGTAGGAAGTCAGGTGTGGTAGCCCTCCCAGCTACCACACCTCACAATTATGTTTATTTGTTTTACTATGATTAGATATATTTTGTTTATATATATGTAGTGTTTTATATAATTTTGAAAAAATGTTGTAGATGGATTAATGAAAATGTCTATAATAACGCAATATACGACATTTAAAGTGCAGTACAGGGTATTTGTGGTTTTCGGCTATGGAAGACCTCTAGAAGCAATGGCCCCCGCCATGGAGCAAATTTGTAGGGATGACCAAATTTGAAGGATTTAAGAGCCCTAAATTTTTCATATGAAGTAGATAAATGCTATAATTTGAAGAAAATAAAACTGAAAATCTATCAGTTTATTATACAGTATATTATATACATAATGAACTACAACGACATTACTCCATGCAATATGTAATCATTTAACTGATTCAAAGACGTCCATTGTTAGCTGAAGGTTGTGGAAGACGGTGAGGTGCCATCTCCACTTCTAAGTCATAAAAACTCATTTTCTCATAGCAAAAATATTCTGTGTTTGGGTAGTCTCCACTCTTGAGTGCTCCAGGACCAACAGCTGCAACAACAATGTGGAAGAGTATTTAATGTTTAGAAGGCACTGTACAACCAAGCTTACAAAAATTAATTTGCATACCTTAATAAATATTACAAGGCTCATTCTCCAACACGTCAGATCCCACTGACAACTCTTCTTCACTCATCCTTGTCTAACATTCATTATGCTTCCTGAATGTCTAAGCTCTTCCCTCTCAAAGCTTCATTCACACCCTCTAACTCTAATACATCTTCTATCAACTAATGCTTTATCAAATTTCTATCATCCAAACTTAATTTGCTCCATCCTTTTAACACCAAACCATTTTCTTATATAGTTGACCCTCAACTAATGGCAGCATTAAGTAATGACAATTTCATCTAATGGTGCTTTTTGCCGTAGAAAAAATGCCTTGACCAACAACGAAAAACTTAACCAACGACGTCAGTGTGCCATTGTTTACAAGCTGTTGCAGTCGGTTTCCACGTGTGCCTCCAATATATTTTGGATTATTCCACTGTTTCTAGTGCTTGTAACCGCTAAATAAGCCACCATGGGCCCCACGAAAGCTTCTAGAGCCAGCCCTTTGGTAAAGGATGTGAGAAACATGATAGAATTCAAGAAAAAATTGTAGAAATATACAAAAGTGGTGGTGGTAGTGATGGTGGTAGAGGGTGGTAAGTGATGGTGGTAGAGGGTGGAAGTGATGGTGGCAGAGGGTGGTACTGGTTGTGATGGTGGTAGAGGGTGGTACTGGTTGTGATGGTGGTAGAGGGTGGTACTGGTTGTGATGGTGGTAGAGGGTGGTACTGGTTGTGATGGTGGTAGAGGGTGGTACTGGTTGTGATGGTGGTAGAGGGTGGAAGTGATGGTGGTAGAGGGTGGAAGTGATGGTGGTAGAGGGTGGTACTGGTTGTGATGGTGGTAGAGGGTGGTACTGGTTGTGATGGTGGTAGAGGGTGGAAGTGATGGTGGTAGAGGGTGTAGTGATGGTGGCAGAGGGTGGTAGTGATGGTGGTAGAGGTGGTAGGTGGTAGTGATGGTGGTAAGGATGTGTGGTAGTGATGGTGTGGTGGAGTGAGGGTGGTAGTGATGGTGGTAGAGGGTGGTAGTGATGGTGGTAGAGGGTGGTAGTGATGGTGGTAGAGGGTGGTAGTGATGGTGGTAGAGGGTGGTAGTGATGGTGGTAGAGGGTGGTAGTGATGGTGGTAGAGGGTGGTAGTGATGGTGGTAGAGGGTGGTAGTGATGGTGGTAGAGGGTGGTAGTGATGGTGGTAGAGGGTGGTAGTGATGGTGGTAGTGATGGTGGTTAGAGGGTGGTCCAGTGATTCTGAAGCTGGTCCTAGTGGCATTAAAAAACCAAGAAGGGAGGTAACCCCACCAAAGGACTTGGTACCTGAAGTCTTTATGGAAGGGGATTCTCCTTCCAAGCAATAGACAATCCTGAATCTCCCCTGCTGCTGGCACATCATTCAACAACAACTCCACAATAAAGGTAAGTGGCATTTAATTATTGTTTATTTTGCATGTCCCATTCCTTTCCATATAATGAAATGTATATTTCATGCAAAAAAATAAAAAAAATTTCAGACTTTGGGGTGTCAGGAACGGATTAATTCTATTTCCATTATTTCTCATGGGGAAAATTAACTCGACTAACGGCAATTTCAACCAACGACAAGCCCTCTGGAATGGATTCATGCCGATTGGTTGAGGGTCCACTGTAATCCACTCTTTAAATTACAACTTCCATATTGCCTCCATGCTCTAATTTATTAATTTTTGCACAATATTCACAATGCACAGTGATCTCTGACAGGACAGTTAATTTGCCTCCAGCATTTTCCTTGCTGTTACATTTCAAGTCCAAGCTTTAGGTTCATGGGGAAAAAAAGCCAGCACCACTATGCTCAATACATTTCTATTTTTTCCTCTATTTACAAGTATCTTTTCACAGACTAATTATTAATACAACTTTCCTTCCCTCTTTTACATTGTGATTTACCTCATCCTTAACAGAATTATCCAGAGAGTCATCTATTCCTGAATATCTAAATATAGTATAAATAAGCATTCACTCCTTTAATCTTCATCTTTCAAGACTTGTCTACAATCATGTCATAATTTTTTTCAAATTTTATTTCATTACAAGATCCTGCATCATATTTTACAACCTAAGAGCCATTATCCAACCACAGCTAATTTCAAAGCCTTTCTCTAACAATATCTTCATGAAGAAAAAGAAGGCACAATACCATGACTGGAATAATACACAAATAACCTGCACAGAGAGAGAGAAGCTTACGACAATGTTTCGGCCCGACTTCGACTGAAATGTCGTCGTAAGCTCCTCTCTCCTATGTGTGGGGTTATTTGTGTAATATCTTCATGGTATGGTACATCATTACCCATGATGTGGCCCACAACAGTAATACCCAGATTCAGTCCCTATTACAAATAGGTGAACAGGAAAACTAGGTGTTAGGAACATGACTTGTACTTCTCGGTCTATCCAAGATTTGAACTATGAACTGAATGAAGATCAGGCTCTTCCGATAACACTTGACTCATATACACTACAAATAAAAATACTGTACTTTAAATCTTTATGGACCATATGTCACCCAAATACTGCATTAGCATTCACTTCCCTCACAATCCCACGTGTACGCGTGGAATCACCTCGGCTGCAGGGTGCCGAGTCTTAACTTTTGGTCCAGTCTCTCAACTTGCCAGATTCACTCCCTCCTAGCTTCAAGGGCCTTATCATACCTGCTCTTATAACTATGTATGGAGCCTACCTCCACCACTTCAAGGTCATTCTATTTTCCAACCATCCTGAGACTGAAGAATACTTCCTGATATTCCAGTGACTCATCTGTGGTTAACTTCCAGCTGTGTCCCCAAGTTCCCATTCCTTGCCTCTCAAACAGCCTGTCTATGTCTACCCTATTAATTTCCCTAAATATTTGGTATATCATATCACTCCTGGTTCTCCTATCCTCTAACTTCATTAGATTCAATTCCATAAGCCTCTTCTTGTACCTCATACCCCTTAACTCAGGAACAAGCCTTGCTGCTTACTTCTGAACTTTCTCCAGTTTCTTAACATGCTTCATCAGGTGCAAGTTCCATACTGATGCTGTATACTTCCAAATGGGTCTATGTTATATAAAGCACCCAGAATGGCTCCTTGTTGAGATTCCTGAAGTCAGGCGAGCATTGGCTACAGACATTACTCAATTGACAATATGGTAGGCACTATGCTCACTCCCAGATCTTTTTCTTTGAATGAGGTCTACAGCCTCTGTCCCCTGAGTCTATACACTGTCTTCTGGCCTCTTCCCCAATCTGGGACTGAACTGAAGTAACCACTTATCTGACTAACCCTGCAGAAGCTTATGACGTAAGCTTCTCTCTTTTATGTGCGGGTTATTTGTGTATCGTTCCAGTCACGGTATTGTGCCTTTTTTTGTTATTTATTTGTCCAGTTCATGTTGCAGCTTTTTTCCCCTCCTCATTTTTATACTTTCTTTGTTAGTGTTCCATTATTGGCAAAGAGATGCATCTGACTATTCTATCTGGTATGTCGTTCAAATAAACCAGAAACAGTACAGGTCCTAATTCCGATCTTTGTGGTAGCCCTCTTGTTACTCTTCCCTATTCTGACATCTCCTCTCAGATAAGTACTCTCTGCTTCTTTCCCCTCAAGGGATATTACTTGACGTTGGCAAGGGGCTCTTGATCTAGGAAATTGGATCTGTGCTCCAGTTCCCTGAATTGAGCCTGAATACCTTCCATCCATCCCCCACAGGTGCTGTATAATCCTATGGGTTTAGCACTCCATGATTATAATAATAATAATAATCTTTGCTTCTTCACCCTAAGGTACTCTTTGATCTACCAAAGTACATTTCCAGTTATTCCTGCCTGCTTCTCAAGTTTTTGCCCCAGTCTCATGTGGGGTAGGGTATTAAATGCCTTTCTGCCTTTGAAGAAAATGCAATCCACCCAACCCACCCTCCCTCCTGTTTCACTTAGGTTACATTGTCATAGAATTCCAAAAGGTTGGTAAGACAAGACTTGCCATCTCTGAGCCTGTGCTGGTTGTCTGTGACAACACTTCTCTTACAACATTAACATTACTCCCAGACATGCCATGTTATGCATTTTTACAAATCCAAGGTAACAAATAATATGAAGACTTTACCTTGCAGCCTGGTCTGAGGTTAGACTTCCTTGTTGACTAACTGGTCAATTAAGCTGCTACTGTTAGTGGCCTGCAGGTTTTCATGGCCATCACAACATAGCTAACATTTTGAGAAAGTAGTGGTTTAGCTGCCTTTGGAAAGCTTTTACCTCTGTTTCAGCATGTTTCTCACTACCCTCAGGCATACAGCTTCTAATAACTTTCCACCTATTTCCTACATTCACAACATTAACCACATCACTCCCAAATGTGCTCTGTTATGCATCTTTTCCAATTCCAAGGTAACAAACTATGCCTTCTTTTCAGCGTATCACTCAATACTAACACCTGAGCCACACAAGCTCTTTCCTTTCTACATCCACTTTGCTCTCTATTATCTTTTCAGTCATTTTGTTGATCATACACTTCATGTAGTATGCTCAGTATACTGTAAGCAAGTATAAGACAAGGGGAGGGTAGTTCCAGTGCCCTGAATCAATAGCCCTTCACTTGCATCAAGGCACTCAAATTGAAGAGCTACAGAATGTATCCTTTTATCAACAAAGGCAAAAAAAAGAATGTACCAGGGTATAGTGGTACCAATACTGTTGTATGTTGCAGCAAGGAGGAGACTGGAGACAGCAGAGATGTCATGTTTGATGAAAAACATCTAAAATTGCCATAATTGTGGAAACACCTTCCCAGAACTAGTGTATGCAGAGGTTATATTATAAAATTAATTTCTAAGTATAATAACCCATCATTTTACATCCTGTGATAAAATGTGGCAGAGTGGCATAATTTTGAAGAAAAATTATACCTGTACTTAAGAAAATGTTGGTAAAACTCAGGCCATAAATTGTACTGGATGATGTCCTTAATGGACTTCTTCTCATACAAAATACCTACAACTCTAGTCTTGCTTATATTTGCATTAGGAAGTCACATTCTCCCTGCTATTCTTTGGGCACATTCATATCATTCAGAAAATAAAACATGTGCAGATCCAAGAGTCAAATGTGTGGGTTCAAAGGTGTTACTGGTACATTACAATAAGCTGAAAGGATTTCACCAATACACTTGCCTCTGAGTCGTCATAAAAAAATACAGTAACTGAAGCCATTACGTATTATTTCTGAATAAAACCAATCAAAAGCAAAATTGCCAAGTTAACAGGGCAAAGTCAAAAAAAAAGTTATTACAACAGCTTATTACAAGAGCTTGCCTGGAGTGAGCTGTCCAACTGTACCCTGAACTAACTCAAATTTCCATAAGGCCATAATACACAAAGTTCTGACACATGTTTATTACTACCACTGAAAGGAGCAAAACTCTTTACTATTACTGTGCAATGTTCATTTTCTTGCATTATGACTTCAAAAATAAAGCACATAACTCATGTTGCTTCCCACTAGACCTAGGACACGTATTCCTTACAGTTGTTGTTGCTGTTGTTGTTGTTGTTGGATCTTACAGTGCAAAATTAGAGAGGTTTCCACTACAAGAATACTACTACAGTAATGTGAATGAAAAGGGGAAATGGTGCACTTACAGTGGCCAGGATCAGATGGTGTGGCTGCTGATTTGTATTCATGAATATCTGGAGCCTTTGGTATCACAGATTCTGCAGCTGAAGCCTTTGGGATGGCAGCTTTTGGGGCAGCAGCTTTCGGAGTGGCAGCTTTCGGAGTGGCAGCTTTCGGAGTGGCAGCTTTCGGGGTCTCTACACTCTGAGGCACCTTGGATGCTTTAGTTGCTTTCGGAGGCTTTGAGGCATCTGAACAAAACTTTTGTAGGCTGATGCGAAACAGAGGTGCTTCCAACTGTATAAAAAAAAAAAAAAAAAATTTCCTAAGCTATCAAATTTAAAAACAGAAAAGAAGTACAGAAAATCTTCAATTCAGCATCTTTGTATATGCTTAATGTTTTTTGCTAAGAGGAAGCAATTTTGCTTTTGACTAAAATATTTGTTCCCTCCCTTCCCCATTGTCTACCGAGCACCTTTAGTGCTAGCAACTTACCATCACTAAATAAAACATCCTTTGTTAAAAATAAAAATGGTTAGTCATATTTTGCACAGCAATACCTTGTAAAAAAAAAAAGGGATTAATTGTACCAAAAAGGAGCACACCACATGTACAGGACTACCATTTACAAAAAAGTTGAAATAGGTAAAAAAAAAAAAAAAAAGCACTAAGAAAAAAATTCCATTCCGTTTCATGGAGAAGCACCCTTCCCACTTGATAACTTAACCTAGCTAACATACTGAAAAATAATTGCCAATGACAATTAAAAAGTACACAGCAACTGTCATCTTGTGCCAAATCATTGGTGAAGTAGGCCATGTTAAAACTTTTTGATAAAAAAGGTGTGAGAACAGGGTTTTCATGCTCATTCAACTTAAGTTTTCGTGTTGCTATATGGTTATTTGTAATAATCTGTTGTTCATTTACCTCTCCCAACTGTACACTAATCAGCCACATTACCTATTTGTAGCTACAGGGTTATTATAATAATCAAAGGAAGTGCTAAACTGCAAGGGTTATACAGTGCAGCAGAGCAGGGAAGGATGCAGGGGAAATGGGTGGCAAGAAGGAGAGGGATGATTATTAGGGTATGGAGTGCAGTGGATAGTGCAGGGGTAGAGAGTAGCAAGAGATTAAGGTAGAAAGGATGGAGGAGAGTGCTAGAGGCACTCAAAGTTTGTGTAGTAAGTCAGTTGCTGTCAAAAAGTCAATGAGATAGTCTGGATTAAAGGAGGGTCCATCAGCAAGAAGGGCAGGTAAAGAAAGGGCAGCAGAGTGGAGACGATGTTGAAGGTAAATTCTGCGTGCTCGTTGACAGAGTGGACAGCCTAACAGAATGTGGCTAACATATACCGGAACTTAACAATTCTTACAGAGAGGAACAGGGCGCCTCTCCATGAGATACTTGTAAGACAAGTGTGGCCGATGCAAAGACGGGAGAGAGTAGTCTCCCAACCCTGACACTGATGGCAAGAAGATGGCCAGAAACCTATACTCAATTCAACAGAATGAAGTTTGTTATGGAGCAGATCAGACCAACGTTGTTGCCAACGGATGCGAAGGTGGATAGCAACTTCAGCAAAATAGTCTGGATGGAACACCTCTATATGAAACTGGGAGGCTATGTACTGCTGACCATGCAGTGGTGTCTGCCTGTTCATTGCCCTGTATGTCAACATGACCAGGGACCCAGCAAAAAACAATATTTGTGTGTTTGCTAGAGATATGGCGTAGCCAAAGTTGGATACGAAGAACTAGGGGGGAAGGTGTATAAAATTTTCGTATAGCCTGTAAAGCACTAAGGGAGTCTGAAATAACCACAAATGGTGACACAGGAATAGATGCTATACAGTTAAGTGCTACAAGAATGGCATACAATTCAGCTGTAAAAATGCTAGCCGAGGATAAGAAATGTCCTCGCATGAGACTGTCTAGAAACACTGCTGCGAATCCGACACCGTCAGAAGACTTAGAACCATCGGTTTACACTGCGATGGCACGAGAATGAGAGAGGAGGTGGTCAAGAAAAAGAGAGCAGGAAGCCACCATAGGTAGTTGGGCTTTCGTGCATGGCAGTGGGAAAGAACAAACACAAACAGCTGGAACTTCCCAAGTGGGCAGGGAAAAGTGAGGTGCTACATGAACATAGAAAGGTGGTAATTGAAGAGAAGACAAGAGTGAATGGAGGCAGAGAGAAAAAGGGGTGGAGTAAGCAGGGACAACAAACAAATAAAGAACGTCTACTAACATCAGTGACCAACCTATATACAGAAGGATTGTGGAGGTCATGAGATCGAACATAATAGCAAAGGTAATGAGCATCACAGTGATCGGACAAGGATGGAATATTCGCTTCTGCATAGAGGTTCTCAACAGGGGATGAACGAAAGGCACCAAGGCACAGATGGAGACTTTGGTGATAAATGGGATCTATCTTAGAGTTGTGGGAGAGGCCGCAGGATAGATTTGGTCACCACAATCCAGCTTGGACAAGACTAGGGTGGAATGCAAACGGAGAGTGTGACGATATGTTCCCCATGAACGATGAGCGAGAGCTTAAAGGAGATTTAGCCGACCATGGCAAGTTGTCTTTAAAGAAGAAATGTGTGATCTCCACATCAGCCGGCAATGAAAGAGCAGGCCCAGAAACTTGACCATATCACATGCCTGAATATATGAACAGTGTAAGTACAAGGAAGTATCTGGAATAAGAGGATGTCTAGTGAAGGTAATGAACCAGGTTTTCATACTAGAAAATTTAAAGCCATGAGAAGTGGTCCAATGGGGGATTATTATTATAATCAAAAAGAAGCTCTAAGCCACAAGGGCTATACAGCGGGTCCAATGGGGGAGACTGTCTATCACAACCTGAAGAGAGGATGCTACTAATCGACAGTCAGCACCCGAGTAAGCTATAGCGAAGTTATCAACAAAGTGACACCCAAATATGCGAAGGAAGAACGGAAGGTGGGTCATTTATAGCTAAGAGAAAAATAGTAGTGCTGAGAACACAACCTCGTGGAACTACCTCGGCTTGCACAAAGTCCGAGGAAAGCGAGGCACCAATATGGATCTGAAAATGTCTATTGGACAAGAAAGCAGCGATGAAGTTTGGTAGATTACCGCTGAGGCCTAAGGAATGGGCTTGGGCTAAGATGTCATACCTCCAAGTGGTGTCATATTCCTTCTCTAGATCAAAAAGACCGCTAGGACAGTGTGTTTGTTAGCACTTAGTTACATATGTAACTAAGTGGAGCAATGGATCTACCATAGAGCAGCCTTTGTGAAAGCCATATTGGCGAGGGGAAAGGCACACAGTGCATAACAAGAAAAAAAAAAACTGACCGTGTTTTTGGTTTAAAACAGCAACTTTGCACTGTATTTTCGTATGGTATTTATGGTTGTATTCTAGTTTTCCTGGTCTTATTTTATAGAATGAAAGACATATTACAGAAATTGAGACGATTTTGACCGATTTCACAATGAAAAGTACCTTGAAATTGAGCTCAATGTAGCAGAAATGTTCGATTTTTGCCAAAGTTCAAAAGTAAACAAATCATGCCACACGTCCAATACACATCAACTGTGAATCTAATATTCTTTCACAAGTGCGCTGATATTATTTATACCATTTCTACACTAATACAGTAGTCTGTATAACAGTAAATCTTCTATTTTTTTTGTGAGAATAAAAATTCAGAGTGGAAAGCAAAAGAAATGTAAGTAGGCCTGTTGCAGTGTTCCTTCTTTCTTACGTTCTTATATATCACATCATTAAAATCAATCTATCACAACATCAAACTCACTGAAGGATTCCTCTCTTATGTTGGTGCAGCACTGTTTTGTGCATTAGTGTCACTTTCTTTAGAGGCTCTATGGTGTCACCCTAAATGGTGACACCCGGGGCAGCCCGCCCCCCCTTATGACGCCTCTGCTTCCTATGGTGTATGAATATACCTAGTTGGATCAATCTTATTGTGGCTACCTGGCCTGGTGGCTAATGAGTTGGTCTGGAGTTTTGACTCTCTCTGATCGGGGGTTCTATCCCCGCCCATGGGATGGTTTTTTAACCAACACAATTTGTTCATTGGTCAAACTTCAGTTATTCTGCTATGGAAAAACCGAGGAAATACATACTAAAACAGAATATAAAATAAGCACAAACCACTTGAAAGAGTGGAAGATTAATTTGAGAGGAGCAATATCAGAAGATCTTACATTCAAAGATCACAAGTCTTATCACAGTTACAATGAAAATGATAGGCTGGATAACTAGAACCTCCTTACATCCTTAAATCCCCTGTTCTGTAAGGCCAACTAAATAGTAGAACTGGAGAATGTAGAGAACCTGCCCAGAACCTGGAACCTGCCCATATAAATTCAGTCAAGTACCTACATTATTGGAAACACTGAAGTCCCTTGGAATTTAGGCCAGAAAAATGCATAATAATTTATATGTATTTGGAAAATTCTAGAGGGATTAGTTGCAAATTTCCACATCAAAATCACTCAGAGATTCAGAAGATGGTGCAAAATACATCCAGTGAAAAGCAAGGGTACAAGAAAATTCACCAAGTTTATTAATGGGATCAAACCATCTCTAGATAAACTGCAGGTAAGTTGGTTAGATTAAGTTAGTTTATGTTAAGATAGTGCTGGCTAATACAATAATTTTACTAAAACTATATTATGCGAGACTACTCGTATTCACTGACTTCTTTTTGGGTTATCCTAGGTAAGTTACACATATGCTACTGTGTATAATTTGTGTAACTATATTTATGTGTACCTGTGCTTAAATAAACTTATTTACCTAGAAGACTATTGCAATTTGTCTACTCAATTATATTTTAGTACAAAAATATGAATAAGAAGTACAGCAAGGACCCAAGTAAAAAAAAAATCACACTAACTCCTTTTAATGTCATAGTGGGTTTATTCTACATAATGCACTACAGTAGGACTCTTGTGTCCATAGGGGACACTACAGTAGGACCCTTGTGTCCACAGGGGACACTACAGTAGGACCCTTGTGTCCACAGGGGACACTACAGTAGGACCCTTGTGTCCACAGGGACACTACACCTGTTAAGGGACCACTCGTGTGTCCACAGGGAACACTACAGTAGGACCCTTGTGTCCACAGGGAACACTACAGTAGGACCCTTGTGTCCACAGGGAACACTACAGTAGGACCCTTGTGTCCACAGGGAACACTACAGTAGGACCCTTGTGTCCACAGGGAACACTACAGTAGGACCCTTGTGTCCACAGGGAACACTACAGTAGGACCCTTGTGTCCACAGGGAACACTACAGTAGGACCCTTGTGTCCACAGGGAACACTACAGTAGGACCCTTGTGTCCACAGGGAACACTACAGTAGGACCCTTGTGTCCACAGGGAACACTACAGTAGGACCCTTGTGTCCACAGGGAACACTACAGTAGGACCCTTGTGTCCACAGGGAACACTACAGTAGGACCCTTGTGTCCACAGGGAACACTACAGTAGGACCCTTGTGTCCACAGGGAACACTACAGTAGGACCCTTGTGTCCACAGGGAACACTACAGTAGGACCCTTGTGTCCACAGGGAACACTACAGTAGGACCCTTGTGTCCACAGGGAACACTACAGTAGGACCCTTGTGTCCACAGGGAACACTACAGTAGGACCCTTGTGTCCACAGGGAACACTACAGTAGGACCCTTGTGTCCACAGGGAACACTACAGTAGGACCCTTGTGTCCACAGGGAACACTACAGTAGGACCCTTGTGTCCACAGGGAACACTACAGTAGGACCCTTGTGTCCACAGGGAACACTACAGTAGGACCCTTGTGTCCACAGGGAACACTACAGTAGGACCCTTGTGTCCACAGGGAACACTACAGTAGGACCCTTGTGTCCACAGGGAACACTACAGTAGGACCCTTGTGTCCACAGGAACACTACAGTAGGACCCTTGTGTCCACAGGGAACACTACAGTAGGACCCTTGTGTCCACAGGGAACACTACAGTAGGACCCTTGTGTCCACAGGGAACACTACAGTAGGACCCTTGTGTCCACAGGGAACACTACAGTAGGACCCTTGTGTCCACAGGGAACACTACAGTAGGACCCTTGTGTCCACAGGGAACACTACAGTAGGACCCTTGTGTCCACAGGGAACACTACAGTAGGACCCTTGTGTCCACAGGGAACACTACAGTAGGACCCTTGTGTCCACAGGGAACACTACAGTAGGACCCTTGTGTCCACAGGGAACACTACAGTAGGACCCTTGTGTCCACAGGGAACACTACAGTAGGACCCTTGTGTCCACAGGGAACACTACAGTAGGACCCTTGTGTCCACAGGGAACACTACAGTAGGACCCTTGTGTCCACAGGGAACACTACAGTAGGACCCTGATGTGTCCACAGGGAACACTACAGTAGGACCCTTGTGTCCACAGGGAACACTACAGTAGGACCCTTGTGTCCACAGGGTTCACATACATATTCATGATAAAAGTTTAATTGATAAATTACACACAATAAGTTGGGAATTGGTACTTTTTCACTGATGGAAAACACTTCATGACTTCATGACCATGTAGATGAATGGTTCAGAGAACCGACAAGTTGATAAATTAGACACATTTGCAGCACTTGGGAATCTTTAATGAGGAAACATTTTGCCACACAGTGGCTTCATCAGTCCATACAAAGGACTAATTACTTCAAACTCCTCCTGTTCTTCACCCTTCTCCTTTGTATGGACTGATGAAGCGACTGTGTGGCAAAACGTTTCCTCATTAAAGATACCCAAGTTTTGCACATGTGTCTAATTTATCAACTGTCACCATCACTACTTTTGCACTTTGGTGTCATTATTAAGCAAAATTAAGGGTTAGTTTCTGGCAAGGATAAACCAGGGATAACTGAAACCAAAGAAACCAGACCCAAGGATACAGAGGTCCTACTGTACTATGCACATCAGTGGCCTCAGGACCATCATACAAATTTATGCCACTGTTTGTAAGTCCAATTGCATGTCCTCCTTAATAAAACTTTTGTGCACAGTACTGTAATTTTACAAATGTATTATCTTTTTCAAACTGTATGTAATAAACCTTATTATTATTATATTATTTATTATTATATTATTATTATTATTATTATTATAAATAAAATCTGGGACAGTCTGCTTTATTTTTAACTATTTCTCTATTTGCCAGTTATATTTCTACTTTTTGTTATTAATCCTGGCTTGTGTGTTGAAAGCCCCAATCAAGGGACCTCCTGTGCCTTGATGCCACTATGAGCCGTGTATTGGAGCCGTGTGGCTTAGTTAATAATAATAAGTACAAGTACATGTACAAGGTATACAGGTCTAGCTGACATCAATGACATACTACTATATAGAAAGCCACTTGTTATGCTGAGCATTTCGGGTAAATTAGGTCACTTTTGTCCCCAGGATGCGACCCACACCACTTGACTAACACCCAGGTACCCATTTTACACTGATGAGTGAACAGGGACAGGGACAGCAGGTGCCTTATAGTTTTCCAGTTTTCCTTAATGTTTTCCAGCCGTACCAGAGATTCGATCTCCGGACCTCAATGTGTGAGCTGAGTGCATCGTCTAACTGTGAAGGAATTTATTGTTGGTATATACTCATAGTAATAATTATTCATCGCCTAATGAAAATAATCAAGGTCCCAATATTATTATTATAATCAAAAAGAAGCGCTAAGCCACAAGGGCTATACAGCAAGGTCCCAATAGAAACAAGCCACTGACCTTTTGAGTTATCCTAAGTAAATTATAGCATTGTATAGCCCTTGTGGTTTAGCGCTTCTTTTTGATTATAATAATAATACGTAAATTACACTATGATGATAATTGTACATAATTATGTGTACCTGTGCCTCAATATACTTACTCTAACATCAACTAGTAACTACTTTAATATATAATACTAGAGTCATTATTCAAGGGACCATAAAAGAGTGAAAAAATGAGTGAGAATATGTATTAAGAAAGTAATGTCTCGCTCATACCTTGAGAGCCTGACAAATCCTTGGTACAGTAGCCATAATGTAGCAGGCAGCAGAGCCAGAGCCAGAGCCAGCAGAGCCAGAGCCAGCAGAGCCTGAACCAGCAGACAGACAGCTGAGCCAGTCAGCAGAGTAGTGCCAGCAGACACCAGAGTTACTAATGAATGACAATACCCTTACTAAATGACTGAAGTTATCGACACCATCACACTCATATTGTTTAACGTTATTGGGTTATCCTAGGTAAAATTCGACAAAATTTACAATATAAAGCCATTGTAAAGGTTTCAAAATATACGAGACCTCCATCAAAAACGAACTTACTTTCCACGGATTCGAACACTTGAATACAAGGACCCCAGTGGAAATAAGTCACTTGTTTTTGGGGTTATCCTAAGTAATTTACACACACGTTACTAGGTATGATAATTATACTTATGTGTACCAGTACCTAAATAAATTTATTTACTAATACAGACTTGAACGCTAGAGTATCACATATTCCCTAAAGGGCACCTCAAAGAGGTTGCTTGAATTTTATTATATAAGATTTTCTTCGAATTTTTATTCCAGAGGGTTAGCCACCCAGGATAACCCAAGAAAGTTAGTGCGTCATCGAGGACTGTCTAACTTATTTCCATTGGGGTCCTTAATCTTGTCCCCCAGGATGCGACCCACACCAGTCGACTAACACCCAGGTACCTATTTGCTGCTAGGTGAACATGACGACAGGTGTAAGGAAACACGCCGAAATGTTTCCACTCGCCCGGGAATCGAACCCGGGCTCTCCGTGTGTGAAGCGAGAGCTTTAAGTCAGGATGGGTATGGGGTGCATAATAAACATATTAAACTAAACTAACTTTAACCACTTCTCGCTTCTTATGACCAGTCTTTGGTAAGGAAGAAGGATGGGTAAGGATAGAAATATTGGAAAAGGGTGGGAGAGGAGAGAGAGGTAGGATATAAAAGGTAAGTGGCCCAACCACTTTGGTGCAATTTAAAAAGTGTATGTGGAATAATAAAATATTCTTGAAGGGGTATAATATTAACCCATCAGTCACATAGATATAACAGATATATAAGTACATGACTGAATTGGTAGCAATTATACAAGTTGCAATTGCTCTTTTTTTGCAATTGCACAACGAATATTTAAACGACAATGAAGGCGATAATTGTCTGGACAATTCGTAAAGAATTACTTGACACGTTAGCTTCTTACAAGGTGGTGTCCTGCCATAGTAAATGTAGCATAATTTTAACAGTAGAATGCTATACAAGATGTCTCCCTAATTGGGGGCGATGATTTTCTTAGTAGACAAAGGGTTCTGGTGTTACCCAATCATCTTCATCTGCAGGTTAGATTTTTAGATTTTGCCACCGAAGTGGCTATTTTATTGTGCACCCCATATCCATCCTGTGGACGGTAGCGCGAGATCATATGGATACACAAAAGGCCTAGGAACTAGGCCCCAAAGGGTTAACAGGAATACATATGGATTTATATCTACATATCTATAGTTCACTTATCTGTTACAAGCAAATTTAGGAAATTTGCTTAGTATATCTGGTATCTTATTTTCATTAATAAGATATCTTGACATGTCACATAGGTTATTATACTGTCTGTCTCTGTATTCCTCAATAAGTGGACAATTAAGCACATAGTGTTCAAGAGAGTGACCATATGCCTGATCACATAATTTACATTTAGTTTGATCATCATCTGTGTGTCTCCCAAACTGCCAGAAGTACTTGTAACCAAGCCTAAGCCTGGCCACTACAACATCAGTCAGTCTGTTCACATTGCAAGTTGCTCCATAAACATACTTATCTACGTTCATGTTATCATAGTGGGTTATAGATCTACTCAGGCTTCTAACTGCATTCCTATAACAATCATTTTCATTATTTACTTCTCTCCTAATATTATTCCTAATGCTAGACACAGTTATACCAAAGTTATATTCTACATTCTCCTTCTCGATACTCTTCTTGGCTAACATATCAACTTTATCATGAAGGAGTAATCCAATGTGTGATGGGATCCATAGCAATTGTACATTAATTCCTTTGTCCCTAATTTTTGAGTATCTATACCTGGCTTCCCCAATGAGCATGTTGTTGGAGTCATTACATGAGTCAAGAGCCTTCAATGATGACATAGAATCAGTAATGATGATAGAGTCAAGCTCAGTGTCATAGGTTAGCTTTAGCGCCATTAGGATTGCAAACAATTCAGTTTGCAGTGTAGACGCCCAGTTGTTAATTCTTATGCCTAACTCAACAAATTTATTATCGTTCTTAACTAGGGAGGTGGCAACAAGAGCAGATGCAGCCCTGCCAGAAGACTCCTGTTTAGATCCATCAGTGTATATAACTTGTGATAACTTGTTACTACCAGCTAGGTGAGAAATTTCTTCTTGAGCAGTTGCTCTAACAAGAGATTTAAGGAAGGGATTACTAGCAATGAGCTTCTTGGGAGGGACTTGTAGGTATGTGATATTAAATGAACACATCTTCCATGGAGGGGTGAAATGCTCTTGTTGCCTACAGTGATACAGTTCATGCAGGTTATAAAACTTAATGCAATTGCACGTTTTCACAATCCATTTAGATCTGTGTGTATTTACCTCTAGACGCTTGGTAAGATTCACTGTGACAGTGTCTGGTTCGTTTCTCAACATTCTAATACCGAGTACAGTGTTAATTTCAACAATCCTATCACTGATACTAGAAATACCAAGCTCCTTCCTCATGTTAAGAACTTTTGTAGATCTGGGACAGCCAAGAATAATCCTGAGAGCTTCATTTTGCATTAACTCCAAGGGTCGGAGAGAACTTTCTCTAGCTAATATCAACATGGGAGCAGCATAATCAATTAAGGACCTAACATAGGCTATGTACATCATTCTCACGATTCTCACATTTGCACCATAGTTGGGATTGTAGCCAGCAACAGCTTTGAGAGCATTTAGCCTAGCTTTACATTTCTTGTTTAGTTGTGGTATAGTGGATTTGTTAAAGGGTACATCTACACCAAGATATCTGTAAGTTTTAACGTAGCTAATGATTTCACCCTGCAAATAGATGGGTGGGGGATGTCGTTTGCATCTGCAGGGAGGTTGCTTAAGATCATTGGTCGATGGTAATCGTCTTTATGGATGAAGCGACGGACCCTCTGTGGGAGTCATTCTTTGGATCCTGTGAGGAGTATTGATGATATAATCGGTGGTATTTTCAACTTGGAGAGGATGTTATCTGGCATGTAGAGTTCTTGCATTGCATAGATTTGTTTCTTCTTCAGGGTATCAAGACGTACATTTAAGGCAGTTATTATTATTATTATAATCATGTGGGAGCGCTAAACCCTTAGGATTATACAACGCATGTTGGGGGAGGGATGGAAGGTATTCAGGCTCATTTAAGGCAGTAATATCCTGTTGTACGTGAAAATCTGCCATTTTAACTGTCTTCCTGGTACCCGTAATAAAGCGGAGAGCTCTATTCTGGACCCGTTGCAACTTTAGCATGTTGGTCTTTGTTGTTAATGACATTGGGACACATGGGTATTCCAGTGTTGGTCTACCATCATTTTATACAGATGTTTTTTTGACATATGTAGGGGCTTCATTAAATCTAAAGAGACTGCTAATACCGGCTTTGGCTATGTTTATCTTTTTATTGACGTGAGATGTTGAGTGGAGCAGCCTGTCTATTTTTCGCTTTCATTTCGCTAATAATTCAAGAACGCCTCATCCGATCGGCTTCAAATTTTCAATACGTGTGTTCAGTAACGTGGAAATTGAGTGCACAGAGGAGTCACAAGGATGTCAGGAAATATTACTTTAGCCTTAGAGTGGTCAGAAAGTGGAACGACCCAGACAGCGAAGTGGTAGAGGCAGGATCCATACATAGCTTTAAGAATAGGTATGATAGGTCTCAGGTAGATAGAAGTGAGACCAGTAGCGGCTATTAAAGGTAGCGGTGCCTCGACCCCTGTAACCACAATGATGTACAGGTGCGTGTCCTATGATCATGGTAATTGAAGTTATCATCATCCTAGAATGACTCCAATAACTTCCAAAACACAATGGTGTAGCTTCATAATTATCATATCAGTTCAAGCGCTAAACTCTCTGGGTTTAGCGTTCAAACAAGGTTCCACCTAATTCGAGGTCGGCGGAAATTGAAGTTTTAGTGTGTAGGTGAAGATTTGTCTTTTTTTTTTTTTACACAGGGTTTTTACAAGGATAGGTTAAGGAAGGATTCCTAATTTTATTTACAAGCTAAGAGCCGTTACCTACATCAGTTCATTTAAAAGCCTTTTTATTGTTACCAGACATAGATAGGGAACAAGATAAAAGTTGGAGCCATCCATCTGTAGGGCAGCAATTTCATTTGATCAACTGACTTTATGTGAAATTTTTATTCCCATTCAATCACTTTGAATATATTTCAGTTTACCTCTTATAAACGACTTTAATGGCTGATGCATCTTACTGCCAGGATAAGATAAGATTTCGTTCGGATTTTTAACCCCGGAGGGTTAGCAACCCAGGATAACCCAAGAAAGTCAGTGCATCATCGAAGACTGTAACTTATTTCCACTGGGGTCCTCAATCTTGTCCCTCAGGATACGACCCACACCAGTCTACTAACACCCAGGTACCTATTTGCTGCTAGGTGAACAGGTGTAAGGAAACGCGTCGGAATGTTTCCACCCACCGGGAATCGAACCCGGGCCCTCTGTGTGTGAAGCTGGAGCTTTAGCCATGTGCAGGCAAATTTGCCAATACAGTAAAATAGTTAAAAACTTAGAATTCGTGACAAATGGAGAATGACTCATTTGATCGGCATAAAATTTTTACCATTGATAAGGTTACCAAACACAACCTTCATCTTGCTCCTAATTTGCCAGTCTATTGAATATTATTATTATTATTATAATCAAGGGGCAAGCGCTAAACCCGGAGGATTATATAGCGCCTGGGGGGGAGATGTGGAAGGCATTCAGGCTTAATTCGGGGAACTGGAGCACATCCAATTCCCTAAATCAAGAGCCCCTCACCAACATCAAGGAACCTTCCTTGAGGGGTATTGAATAGTAATATTCATTTTTATTCAGCAACCAAAGAATGGTTCTTCTGATTGACTCCAAAATATTGATGATGCATTCTAAGAGGAGAATGATAATCCCCAAGTTTAGTCTAAGTGCAAAATTTAAATTCTGAGTTTTAAA